AATTGGGCCTGATCTCAGGTTACGTCGGGAGGTGTGGTGCCGAGGAAGAAAGAGGGAGGAGGGGAGGCCAAAAATAGCGTGAGAATCGAAACGGCAAGGGTCGCATGTCGCGGGTAAATTGTCGCTGGTGGCGGGTAAAATGTCGCGGGTCAGAAATTGAACCCACATTTTTTTAACAAGCTTTTGAGAGAACTTACCACTTTCTTCCGAATACAACCATGTTACTTAAGCGGAAACGTGGACCGAAACCCAGGAGAAAATTATTACCGCTTCGGATCAAACGAAGCAGCCTTTTATGGGTCGCAGTTCGGACACAATAGGCTGATTTAGCAACAGAACGGGAACGTCAGTCGACGACGGCGCGCGCAGATCAAACAGCTGGCTTGACCAATGGCTGAGAGGCAAATTGGGCGCCGGAAGTCGAGTTTAGTCCTTTCCGCGAGCTTTCCCGTCGTCAAATGAAGTTCCCGTTCTGTTGCTAAATCAGCCTAATATCCAACTTGAAGCGTCTTATAAAGCATCCATGGATAGTACGGGGAAGTGTGGGAAAAGGTCATCTCTTCTGGAAAAACAAGACAAAGCTACAAGAGAACAGATCAGTAGAGCTAGGCAGCTCGAAGAGGACCTCATCAGAGAAGATCTCTGCGACGCAGACCATATATCTGCTTTGAATTCCAAGATCAAGATGCACATGTAAGCCGCAATCCGTATGATAGGCACAATGCTAGTAGCTACTAGCGTCGGTCAAACGTGGAGGTCTACCGGAACACGAAGCGGTCGTTACCGACCGAATAGTAGCAAAACCTTTGTCGATAGGCTGCAAACGGCAAAACGAGAGAATGAAGATCTCAAGATAAAATCGGTAGACTCCTCCACAGCCTATAATAGACTGACCTACATCGTAGTAAACATTAGAGAAAAATCTAATCATAAAGTAGAAATCGGAAAAAGTCCCTTTTGTGATTATGAGGATTTTACGAAGAATTCTGCAAAAGAATTATGAAAAAATATCATATGGACATTACGATACTTAATATTTGTCGACTGCCGGAAAACAGTAATCTGTTGCAGCAGTTATGCATCAGTCAATTCCAGCTGCGCCCAGCCCCCTGACCTGACCTGGCTGGCTGACCTCGGCATTAGCATTTTTTGCCTTGGATGGCAAATTCCCGGGGGTGGGGACTCTTGAGCTGTCAAATCCCCCGGGGTGCGGACGAAAAAAGAGAGCAAATGTTCCGTCCTCCGTCAACTCTGCAACATTTTTCAGTGATGGCACAGTCGAGTAGTGCCATTTTAAGCATTTTAATTAATGTGCGATTTTTTGTTTCAATTAACGTTGTCTTTGTAAAAGTGTTATTCTAATTAAGACTTCACGTCGTGACGACATCAGTTTATGGTTTTTGACCCCGCAGGGATTTCGCCCAGCGGCGAAATCCCGAGGAGGCACCCTAGTAACTCGCGCGTATATTAAGGACAGTACTTACAGTTCAAATATACAGTCAGTATACTAGAAAAAATCTCGATTTGCTCGAACTGGGGCCGCGAGGAATCGGTAGATAATGATGACGTTTCTATTGTTTGCGCCCGCAAGTAAGAAATGGTTAGGATGACGTAAAGACAGAAAATCCTGAAGGGACCGCTCAGGTAGATTTTGTGACATTTATTGTGCAGATACTCTTTTGCGTTACTCTTTTGCGTTACGCAGAGACATTCTATGGAGCAGTTGTGGGCGCAGCTGGAATTAACTGATGCATTATTTCTAACTGATGACGAGGCCTTGACTTGAATATTGTTGGAAATGCGTACTTTGTTGTTATACCGGAGAACCTTGTATTTAAAACGACCACTGAAAAAAGTAGGAGAGAAATAATACTGGATCCCCTTTCAAATGATGCTCGAAACAAACACGAACAGGTCTGGACTTAAGGAAAAAAGAACAAATAATAAACGTCACCTTTGACCAGTCAGGATGAGAAAATTTGGCCCTTTTTATGGGGTAAAAGATACGCATGGATGGACGAAAGCGATTCCGCTATGTTTGGACCACAGCAATATTTGAATAAGGGAGAATACATATTTTAAAAAAGGAGGGTACGTGTACTGATCGGAGACTTTTAAGTCGACAGGTTGTTTGCTGATTTGCATGGTTATTGTTTCTTGAAACAAAAGGCACTGTAGGGAGTTGAGTTGTGTCTCGAACACTGTGCAATTTTCTCCAGGCATTTTATCGATCCATTTATTAACGCAATTTGCTTTTCTAAAGCAGGATTGAAAAAAAAATAAAACTTAAATTATAAACGACGCCTTTAACTGAACAATCAGATTGTCTTACGAAGCTGCTAAAGGAAAACCTCTGGTTTTATTATGATCGTTGATCACCGAACAAACAGCTCACAAAAGTCTAGTAATCTGAACTATAGTCGGCGACCGCAGCTATTGATATGTAAACCAGCTTTTTATACGTTGGTTAAGAAATAAGTCTACCTCAGCGACTGCTACACGATTCGTTGAAAAGTTGTTTTGCAGTTAATCGTTATGATCGTTGAACTTTCTTTGTCATCAATCGTGGCTACCCTGTATGAGGAATGAGTCTTTATCAGACAGAACGTATCTTTTCCAGCGCAAGAACATCTTAAATTGTTTCAATTAAGCGGCAGGCTAGCAAGAAGGTTATTTTGTATTCCTTGATATTTCGTAGTCCCCCATTTCATCTCATTCAATTGCAAATTACTGAATTAACAATTCTCACAAAAACAAAAAGAAACTATTCAATCAGTCTGATTTGATTTGATGACGTTAGTCTTTCCTGATTGGCTGACACCTCCTCCATTGTTCTTTCTCTATATATTTGCGATACCACCCGGATGGTTTGGGCGGATCCGTAAACCACTGCACAGTAAACCTCTCAATACTTCATCCATATTCAATCAACCAGTTTGTTACAAATTCAAATAGTGAACCCTTGAATTCCAATGAAGCCTTCTCCCAGCCTGGCGAGTCGTGCATTCGATTACCCTCGTTAACTCAGGGCTGCTGAATGTAATGATAAACAAGTAAAGCCATTCATCTGTTATTTTGTATTGTCAGTGTAAATACCAGGTCATTTGTGAGAAGTGAACTAGTTTTAACCTTGTGCGACAGCTAAGCGAATGAACTAGAGGATAAAGCACTCAAAAAGGAAATCGCTAAGGCAGTTAATACATCGTGTGTTTATGAATTAAAAAATGTATCACGCGGATGGTACTTACAGTCTAAATCTTTTGCATTTCTACATGATAGGCAGTAAGGAATATTCAAATTAGAGTTGCTTGCAATCGAGGTCAATAGCAAAGTGCATCCTTCATAAATCAGAAAAGACACTTAACCAAGGCAGTCTTCTAAGTTTTCAAATATTTGCCCCAAAGCATGTAGCTGCAGGAGAAGCTGTAAAGGTATCCCTGTAGATTCTAAATTGAACAAAAATAAATGTCCGACTAACAAATGTGACATTTTATCCTTGAACCGCAAGGAATGTATTTTACAAGGTTTCTAAATAATGTACGTTAAGCCTTTTTCAACAGAACTTTTGAGAAATGAAAAAAAAAAAAACAAGAAATGACCTGTAATTTCCGCTTTCTTCGCGGTTGATTTGCCTGTCCCGCTTCCTTAAACCAAATAATAAGAAGTCATATGAAAAGCATTTAATTACAATAGATCACAAGCATAATTTATATATTAATTTCCGTTTGGTAAGGATCACCTATTTTCACAATGCGACCGTTATCAATAAATCTGCCTCCCTGGTTCAACCGCTCATTTTCAACCTCTTTTCACTACGCTTTCAGGTTCATTTATCAAGTCGTGCTTATACAACCTCAAGAATAATACTATTATACCGATTAGCTCAAACTATAATGCTTTTTGACAAATATCTTTGGTTATAATATTTGGCACACTTTGTTTTTACCGACTGAGGTATTTTGACCTTGGCCGCGGCAGCCGAATTGTCCGTCAAAGTTCAGTACAATGGATGATTTCTACTTCGAGGGTGGTTACCCCTCGCGCCCCGTGGAACTTAAGGCCTTCACACTGAGTTTCCACACCTATCTGGCTCTCTGTCAACTGCTACTGCTTTGCACCTCATTACAAAAGCCTCAGCCTGCTCTCTCTCGTTTCTGTTTCCACTCTCCTCTTTCCTAAAATAATCTCACGATGTATTTGCCGCATGGCTATATATGCGCAAGTTTGGGTAGCAGGGGCCCGAAAGATTTTGGAAACCAAGTAAGAATCAACCTCGAAGTAAGAGGACGCACGCGCGCGTTCGTGTGTGTAGCACTATAATGTTGTTCAATGAAAAAGAAAGATGCCAATGTTAGCACATGTCCCTGGCATCATAATTTAGCAGAAGGAAAAACCCAATAGTTGAAGTATTAATAGCAATACAAATTTAAAGTATGGTAAATTCACAGTAAGATTAAATTGAGCTTGAAAAAAGTAAACTGGGTATGAGGGAATCAATGGGAGGAGACTTTTTTCAAGGAGGGGGGGTTAGCCTTAATATTATCATTATGTGAGGGAAGGAGGTGAAATTAATTTTTGGCTTAATGAGGGGGGTTATGACTTAGTTTTGGGGCATTTTCACCCATTTCCCAGCCCTCCCCCGCCCCTCCAGGTAATTATTGCACAGTCCCTTACCTCAGCACAGAATTGACCCAATAACCCCCAATAGTGGCGGAGCTCTCGCGCGCGCAAGGCGCTCGCAGCTGAGTACCATGGGTAAGAAAATTTCGCCATCCATGCATCCAAGAAATTTTGCTTTTGGCAAAATCGTCCGTAAAAATCGTCGCGGGCTCTGGTGTACAGTCACATTGAGGCGATGTTTTTATTTAAGTTCAGTCCGGTGACCAGTTGTATTCAAGCAATCGCAAGCTCAGAGTAGTTCCCTCGAGATGGCTTCCCTTGTGGCCTTGGTTAAATCTATACAAAATTCATCTTAATCACCTTCTCCTCTATCAAACGCACAGGTTGAAGATGTGGTCATCGTTGAAGATCTAACCAAGTGGCAAGAACTGGTAAATGAGTGTGATGCTCTCCAGTGGAAGTTAGATCACGCCAATGTAAGGTTTTATTTGTTGTTTGTTTGTTTGTTTTGTTTTGTTTTTTTGCTTTCAGTCTATTTTATTATCATAAAGAATCCCTGATTTTTTTATTTTTTTATTTTAGCTTAAAGATTATTACTTAAGTAAACATCCAGAAAAAAATCTTGTTCGTATCATTTTTATCACCGATTTTTTTTTTTGTTGACAAGATAACCTGTGAAAGTAGACTTATTTCCGGTCGTCGCTTCTCTGCATCCGAAACTTGCCCGTAACTTTTGAGGTGAAGAGAAGCGACGACCGGAGCCGAGATTCATCTGCGTTAGTCGCATGCAGGCTAGCCAGGACGAGAAAATGACATTTAGCTTCTGATTGACCGCTTATAACCGTTGATGAATTTGCCAGGAAGGATTTATCCACTTGTTTACTTCTTGTTGTTGGCTGTACACGAACAAATAGGAGAAAAACCCACACACAGGAAGTTTATCTGTTGTGGAACAAAATTTGACTCAATCAGCCAATATGGAACAGAGCTTGAAGTAAGAACTTTAATACCTAAGTTAAAACTTAACAAAGTAATAGATAATTGTGCTCAATGATCTGCATTTTGGCGATAATACTCCGTTGGCAAAATTATCGCGAAAACGCTGGAGAAAGGTGGCTTCGCGGGAAGTCAGTGGAATCGCGTTCCTTTGCTTGGTTTTCTTTATACTTCAGCATTAACTACCAAGGCATAGGGTCTTCAAAGTCTTTTAGAAACCCTTCAGCAAGATCTCCACCATAAATAATTTAATTGATGTCGTCCCATACAAGGTAATCCAAGACAGACTGATTCCGGATTTTTTTTTTCAGTGGAACTTGGATTTTGGATTCTAATCGTTAGCGGGATTCCCGATTCCTTGAACTGAATTCCGGATTCCGAAGCCCAGGTTGCTCTACCACTTTCGTCAGGTCAACAATCTTTGATATGTTTTCCCTTCGCAGGCAGTACAAGCAAAATTAGACGAAGAGACGGAGAAGAAACACAACCTGTTTCCGTGCTGTTTTGTGGTTTTCCGTTCTCTTCGTGCATCAACTCTTGCTCTTCAAAGTGATTGGGATAACTCTCCCCTAGAAGTCGATGTTATACCAGCTACTGAACTGGCCAGCGTGCTGTGGAACAACCTGCCTATTGGCCTTTGGCAAAGGTGCTCTTATTTATACCTAGCATAAGTTATATTCCCCCATCCGGTACGTTAAGAAGGACAGAGCAGGCGTTTTTTTTTTTTTTTTTAACGAAACCTCAGAGTAGAGCTCCTGACTCAGAGGTACATTGGTCGCGGCCGCCATCTTGAAAACAATTGAAAACCTAAGGGACCAGGGACGGTCAACGGAAACCTCTCCCTTGGAATAATTTTTTGACTCGCCTTAAGTCTCTGTAGGGTGGATGGATGGGACAACATTTATGATTTCATCTTTTGTACTGCAAAATACGCCTGCTTTGCAGACTAATGATTTAGTGGTTTCTGGTTGTTAGTGGTTCTACGAGAGTAGAACTGGAGGAGGTCTTTTACGAGGAAAAGTGCAGACACATCTTTTTTGCGTGCACTTACTAAGTTACAATATTATGTAGTTTCGTCATCAGACTATTGTATCAGGGTCGCTTAGAAGATGTCAAAAGCAATGGAATGCAATGGAAAAGCGGTGGAACTGAAACAATAAAAAAGTAACAAAAATAAATGGTCGCGGTGGATTAGGAGAGGAAGTCGATCCTTTACGAGTTCTAATTTTAAGGATTTAACTCGGAAAATTTTTCAATTAGTGTTTTGGATAGGTAGTCGCTTAATACGGGAGGTGAGATAAGCAACTCGGCTCGCTTCCGTCGCAAGAAAAGGACCCCCTCCTTCATAGAAGGTTGACGGGAGAGAGTAACATTTCCTTTTGTACTTGGACAATAAAAATTCTTTTTGTGGTCAATTAAATTGCAATTCATTGCAATTTAATAATTTTTCTATCTTGTTACATTAGGAAATTGCGCACGACTCTGATCTACGTCCTGGTGTTTTTGCTGGTGTTCTTTTGGACGGTGCCTGTAGCGTTTGCTTCAACGCTGGTCTCTTTACAAAACCTCACAAAAGTTGCTCCTTTTTTGAAACCAGGTGAGATTTTACTGTTTTACCAACGCTTGAATCCCAGGATTACTCCCTGTAATGGCGTATAGGGGAAGGTTTCGCCCCGCCTGAAAGGGATACCTTTTTGAGGCTTCAGGTGTATAATAAAAGCATGAGGATTTCAGTGGGAAAAGTATATGAAAGGGTAGGAAAATCTGTCATTTTGGTCTGTAAAATGCCCTAAGGGGGATAACAGACGCCATTTTGTAGCTATGAGTAAGATAAGAAAACTTCCTGGTTTAGTGACTTTTGCATATTTAGAAGACCATGCATTCACAGCAGTTAAAAGAGAAGCAAAGTTCTGAAAAAGGTATGTGAAAGGGGTAACATTTGTCGATAGAAGTTTATAAAAAAGTGATATCTTTCCTATCAAAAGGGGTATATAAAAGGGTAAGGGTTGAACCTCGGAGCTTTCTTGAGTTTTTCCCCGGGCTTGAATTTCGTTTTAACTTTTGGTGTCCTCTCACCCCGGCTTTGCATTTTCCAATTTGACCTGCAGTTCTAGAACTTCACGCTTTTGTTAAGGGAGCAATCGAGGGCTTTTTATCCGGCTTGGCATTGTTGGTTTTCTTCGCTATTTTGCCTCTGGTAAGTTTTTACTTCATCTGATAGCGTCAATTTTTCGTCAGTACTTTGATAAAGGCACCGACGCAGCCTTTTTTTGTGTGTGTCATTACGTGACGACTCAAAGAATGGTTTCGTAGGAGACTATAATTTGACTGCTTTTTTCACATAGCTCAAAATCCCGCACGACTCATTCCTTTGTTCCGCAGCTCGTTCAGGCGGGTTATTCACAAACCAGAATGACATACAGTCTGGAACGAGTTCATTTTATCTCCATATATTTCTCTGTTTGTGTTTACATGATACCGAAACCACATTTCGTTCCCCACACAAGTCATTCTGGAATTCAATCCGAATGAAACCGTCGTTCTGGTACAAGATTTCATTCTGGTATCATGTAAACCGAGATCGAACTTCCTTCCGGATTGATTGTGTTTCTGATCTGGCGCAAAAACCCCGCGAGCAGGAACGCCTTTGACGGAGTCGTTCGATTTTATCATGTGAATGCGGTACAAACTTCACTCTGGAACAAAACTCATTTCGGAATGAAAGTCATTCCGGTATCATATAAACACCCCCTCAGTAAAAACAAATTTACTCGACAAGGGATTATAGTTTCTACTCTGAAACAAAGTTTCAGTTGAAAATTAACCAGGAAAAAAACGTAGACAATGTTATAATGGTAAAATAATAATTAATTTATTTGGAACTAGACGACTCCAACTCCGACTCTCTTTCGCGGGCCCATAAAGCCTGATGCTTTATTATTACCGGTATTAACATACAGCACGTCTGGTCTGCCTGTGGTTAACCTGCGATACGGCGCTTTTCTTTTTCGTCTCCCAAACAAAAAGGAAGACGCAGATCGCCTGATCGCAGGTTAGCCTGTGGTGACAAAAGGAAAGTCAATTTTTTTGCGTATTACTACTATAAAAATAACATTTTGATCCTGTGATAGGTTCTGAGGCTTTTTAGCAAGCTTGAAGGAATTCCTACGCAAAGTAGAGTAGACCAATCCACGCTGCGAAAATTGTTCATTTTCATGGTAAATAACATTTATTTAAATTTATTCAATTAGTTGTTGTCAGTGAGTGGTCAATGCTAAGTATAAACCTTATAACCACGGCAGCTACTACAAAATTCGTTTCTATAGCGCTATAAACTATAATTTACTATTTTTAAGACTTTCACACTATGCCGTAGAATACTAATTCTGAGCAACATTCGTTTTCTTTATTCCGACCTTCAGATTCGTCCCATTGCTTCCTAAGCCCTTTTTTTTCTTCACTGGGTCCTTTTTCAACATTTCAGTGTTAAGTAACATTAACTTATGAGAGTTTAATGGGGATTCAGCTATCGCTACTTACGTCAGTAGTAGCCAAAAAAGTAGCAGAATTCGAATCATGACGTTTTCTGGCGTTTGAGGCCGGTTCAGAGCGCCACTAAAACAATGATGCAAAAGAGTTTCAGTTTACGTACTGTTTGTGTCTTTCTCCTCCTCCTCCTCCTTCTCCTTCTCCTTCTTCTTCTTCCTTTTTGTATTTATTCATTGGCTTTACGTTCTTTCACAGCTTGTGAACAAGTTTCTGTTCATGACTTTGGTTGGATCAGCGCTCAATAAGCTGAAGGAGATGTTAGACAATCCAAGCCAGATTCCAACTTTCCTTGCTGAATCCCTCCCCTCACAGTCACTGTTTTTCATTTGCTACATCATGTTGGCAACACTGACTGGATATGCGCTGCAGCTACTGTGCATTGCACCGCTTATTATAGTGGCTATTAAGAGGAAATGGCTTGTCAAGACGGAGCGCGAGGAGAAAGCAGCCTGGAGACCACCACCTGTCCTTTATGACCGCATAGTAAGTACAATGACCTGGGAAATAACTTCCTTAAGTTGCTAGGCAACTAGACTAGCCCCAGCCACAAATTGCTCGGCAACGTTTGCCCAACTTTTGCCTTTTGGAGCAACTTTTAATTTTGGGGGTAACTTGATTAAATTTTAAGCAACATAATTAAACAGTCCTGTAATACTGTTTAGGCCATGTTATATATCCTTACTTAACAAATGCTATATAGGTTGGGATTGAGGAATTCCCCCGACTTGTCCCTTGACAATCTTGACGTGTAACGTCGAATCAAATTTCGACGAGGAATACTGGGAACTAGGTTTGATTTGGTTGCAGAGCAGGCAGGGGGTCGAGCAGGGACTTAGCAGGGCAACCTCCTCCTCGACCCAGGGTTTTCTCCTACTCGTCCCTCGGAGCGAAAGAGACGAGAAGGGGAGGACCCTGAAAACGAGGTTGTAGCAGGGGTTTTATGAGGCCGTGCATGCATTGTCAGTAAGTTAACTAACGTTCTAATCTCATTTTAGTTCGCCAATCACCTGTTCATTCTGATTGTGGGTTTGTCGTACTCGGCGCTTGCACCCATTATCACTCCGTTTGTGGCGCTGTACTTTGGCTTTGGCTACGTTGTGTGGATGTATCAGACGATAAGTATATACATCCCAATATACAGCTGTGGTGGAATGATGTGGCCCATAACGTTTAACAGGTAAAACTTACAGTACATAGCATAACATTTTGTATTAAATTATGATTGGCCTTCTCATTGGCTAAGATCCTACAGACAATTTTGGAAATTCGAGCAACCTACAGATTCAGGTTAATATTGGATGGCCTTGGAGGGGCGAAAAGAACTATAACTAATCGATCATCCAGTAACACAGTGTCAAGTCATGAAGCCGCAAACTAACACGTTTATCACCTGTGCATATTACTGCTAAATGTACAATTGATTAGAAAAACCTATTCTAAAAAGGACTCCGTCCAAGATCAGAAAAAATGAAACGAAAATGGTTGTCCTTTGTTCTGCTCTTTTATAAAACTTTAAGTTAGCAAGTTTTACACCCTATTCATGTATATGTAGTGGCGCCAAAAAAACGTAGCAAATTAATATTTGAATCACGGGCAGGGTTTTGATTTGCGACGTGCATGTTGCTTTTTTCTTCGTTTTTGTTCCCTAATGCCCCTTTCTGCAGTCCAAGATACAAATTATATTTAAAAACCTAAACCGTTTTCCGCTTTATAGGATGATCATAGGAACAGCAGTGTTTCAGTTGTTGATGGTTGGAGTGGTCGCTTTGAAGGGATCTTTCGCAGCTTCATGTTTGGTACTTCCGCTTCCGGTGGTGACGGTCTTCTTCTATCTCTTCATTCTGCAGCATTATATAAGACCATCAGCCAACTTGTCGCTTAAAGCTGCGCACAGCCTGGAAAATCCTGCTGCTAACTTTTTGCAGGTTAGATGTTGAGAGAGAAAGACAGACGATCGTATGTTTTCTAGATCACCATGTTTTCTTGACAAGACGCGTATACTACGCGTTTATTGGGCTGCTATGGTCTAATATTTGCTTTGCTGAGTTTTAGCTCCTCCTAAACCAAGTATAAACTATTAAAAGCACTTGTTTCGGCTTTCAATGGATGGAAAATTCTTAGTCACGGTCGGCCCGCTGCAGGGGAAATAGGACACTTCAGTAACGCCTTCTAAGAGATCTGTCGGCCATTTTATCTTTTTTCGACACAGACACCACCCATGTTTTGATTGAGCCACAGGCAGCCCAATAAAAAGCCAACTCGAGACCTTTAGAATAGACTACGGGTTCAGACGAGAGTGAGAAATGTGCCTCGTATATAATTACTCACGAGCGGGGGAGGACAGGGGATAAGAGCTATCGAGTGAAATTTAAATAAAACAAAATAAGAATACAAATGGAACACAAACCCTGTAAGTTATGGCTAGACGCCATTTTATCAAAGACCTAGTAATAAGAACATTTCCTGTTTTATACCGTTGGTTGAGTGATTTAAGTAAGAATGACATCTCTGTTTGCCTCTGACAGGACGTAATCAAGGGTTACATGAGAACCCAGGGAGTGCAGATTCTTCCAGAGCCAGAAGTGCCAACAAGCGAAGAAAGAGATGCGTCTGATCAGGCCTCTGATTTGGAAAAAAGTATTCCTCTAACTGCAGCTTCCGATGATGTGAAGCTGGACGTGTAACAAGCTAGTCTAAAGCATCGTTATATCTAACGTGTGATACACAACAATAAAGGGACGGAGGATTTTGTCGTGTTATCAGGAGACAAAACAGGCAAAGGCTGATAAATAATGCTGTAGACTGATAGGAGTAGAATTCATGGGGTAATATAATCCCGGCGAGTAGTTCTGGGCAGTTTTTAGTTTGAAGATACGAGCCCAATTTCTCCAGAATTGTACAACGCGAGGTCATATTATCAATTAATTGTGCCAGTAACAAAGTGCGAGAAACTCAGTTGAGAATATTCAATGTGAGTTCATATTTCTTATCACATCTGCTTACCGCTCAACATGTCAAGTAAAGTAATAGCATCGCTTTAAACCTTTTCCATTTTAAACGTTATTTAAACCTTTGAATATAGTATAATTAAGTAGAAATTAAATATGACAGTTCATCTGAAATAACAGTTCATCTGATTAAAAGTCATAAGGTCAGCTAATTTTGTCTCTTATGCTTTCAAGTTTAAGCCTAGCATACATATTCATTTCCTTGATTGTAATTGGTCAGCATGGGCTAGTTGGTAAAGTTTCATTTGCATGAGTAACATTAGCCTGATTCTCAGACGTCCGAGGTCGTTCGCGGTCCCTTTCGCTTCCCTCAGAGGGAGGGAAGCGAAAGGGACCGCGAACGACCTCGGACGTCTGAGAATCAGGCTAGAGTAACATTTGCTGGGTAAATTTCACTGGCTATTTTTCAAGTGTCCAATTTGACCTGTCTGATTATACAGCAACTAATATTCGGACTGAACAAATCACTTAGTTTTGATACTTAAATTAAACAGTAAGGGCTGTAAAGAACTATAATTGTTCTTGGCACATTTTACCTACAGTTGAGCAAGAAACATAGGTCTGTAATTATTACAGGTGAACCGCGATTACCGGCCTCGCTTTTTAATATCAACTTGTTAGTGCAGAGTGAAGAAACAAAGGCACGGTCACAATTTGGTCTTGTAAATGTACATCATCGGATCCCACCAATTTTTGCGACTATTTCTCCAAACTTAAGCCGATTTAAAAGTGAAGAACTTTCGCCTAAGCAGCCAGGATTAACATGGGTCGTCTACTTTCAGAAATCAGATTCTGGGTTAGAGTAGGATGAAAAAGTGCTTGGTTTGGACGGGGAAAACAACTTTGTCTACCAAGCAGTTTTATTAGTACTTTAAGGGATCAAGTAGAGGAGGAGCTTAGGAAGAATCCATGGTCGTTCCTCAGATAGGCATATGATAAGGATATGAATCAGATTATAGATTTATCAGATTTATAACGGAAGATTACAAATAAAAAGCGCCACCTTTAACCAGTCAGGATGAGAAAATTTGGCCCTTTTTATGGCGTAAAAGATACGCGTGGATGGACGAAAGCGACTCCGCTATGTTTGGACCACAGCAATATTTTTTGAATAAGGGAAAGCACGTATTTTAAAAAGCAGGGTACAAGTGATCGGAGACTTAACAGTCAGTTTGTTTGCTAATTTGCATGGTTATTGTTTGTTGCCGGAAACAAAGGCACTGTAGGGAGTTGTGTTTGCTTTTAAGAACTTTTGAAACATTATTAACGGAGACCTGTAAACCGAGGCAATGTATATGCAAATAAATGATTTGACGAGTGCTGAGTCGGTAGTATTTAAAACTTATTTCTCTCACCGAGTTGTTGTGCAGTTTAGGATCAGAGGGACTTAAATCGATTGGTTTGTGTTTACCCCGAAAACAAAAATTCTCAAACACTACAGATTTTTCCAGGAATTTCATCAATCCATTTATTTACGCAATTTGCTTTCCTAAAGCAGGATTGAAAAAAAGAAAAAACTTAAATTATAAACAACGCCTTTAACTGAACAATCAGATCAGTTGTCTTACGAAATCTGCTAAAGGAAAACCTAAGTTTCGTTATGATCGTTGATCGCCGAACAAACAGCTCACAAGAGTCTAGTAATCTGAACTATAGTCGGTGTCCGCGGGTATTGATATGGAAACCAGCTTGTTAAACTTTCAAGACTTAAGTCTAACTCAGCGACCGCTATACGATTCGTTGAAAAGTTGTTTTGCAGTTATTAATCGTAACGATTAACTGCAAATCGATCGTAGCGATCCTATATGAGGAATGAGTCTTTATCAGAACGTATCTTTTCCAGTGCGAGAACATCTTAAATTGTTCCAATTAAGCGGCAGGCTAGCAAGAAGGTTATTTTGTATTCCTTGATACTTCGTAGTCTCCCATTTCATCTCATTCAATTGCAAATTACTGAATAAACAATTCTCACACAAACAAAAATAAACTATCCAATCAGTTTGATCTGATTTGATGACGTTACTCTTTCCTGATTGGCTGACACCTCCGCTATTATCCTTTCTCTATATATTTGTGATACCACCCGGATGGTTTGGGTGGATCCGTAAACCACTGCACAGTAAACCTCTCAATACTTCAACCATACTCAATCAACCAGTCCGTTACAAATCCCAATAGTGAACCCTTGAATGCTAATGAAGCCTTCTCACAGCCTGGCTAGTTGTGATTACCCTCTTTAACTCAGGGCTGCTGAATGTGTTCATAAACAAGTAAAGCCATTCATCTGTTATAATATTGTAGTGTCGGTGTAAATACCAGGTCGTTTGTGAGAAGTAAACTAGTTTTAACCTTGTGCGATAGCTAAGCGAATGAACTAGAGGATAAAGCACTCAAAACGAAATCGCTAAGGCAGTTAATACATCGTGTGTTTATGAAGTTAAAAATGTATCACGCGGATGGTACTTACAGTCTAAATCTTTTGCATTTCTACATGATAGGTAGTAAGGGATATTCAAATTAGAGTTCCTTGCAATCGAAATCAATAGCAAAGCGCATCCTTCATAAATCAGAAAACACACTTAACCAAGTCATTGTGTTATAACAATTCAGTCAAGACCGGCAGTCTTCCAAAGCATGTAGCTACAGGAGAAGCTGTAAAGGTATAGTCCCTGTCGATTCTAAATTGAACAAAAATGTCCGACTAACAAATGTGACATTTGATCCTTAAACCGCAAGGAATGTATTTTACTAGGTTTGTAAAGAATGTATATTTAGCCTTTTTCAACAGAACTTTTGAGAAAAAAAAAGAAACAAATGACCTGTAATTTCTACTTTCTTGGCGGTTGATTTGCTTGTCCCGCTTCCTTAAACCAAATGATAAGAAGTTATATGAAAAGCATTTAATTACAATAGATCACAAGCATAATTTATATATTAATTTCCGTTTGGTAAGGATCACCTATTTTCACAACGCACCGTTATCAATAAATCTGCCTTCCTAGTTCAGCCTCTCATTTTCAACCTCTTTTCACTACGCTTTCAGGCTCATTTACTGAAGTCGCGTTTATACAACCTTAAGAATAATACTATTATACCGATTAGCTCAAACTATAATGCTTTTTGACAAATATGTTTGGTTATAATATTTGGCTCACTTTATTTTTACCGACTGAGGTATTTTTACCTTGGTCGCGCGAGCCGAATTGTCCATCAAAGTTCAGTATAATGGATGATTTCTACTTCAAGGGTGGTCACCCCTTGTGCCACATGGCACTTAAGGCTTCCACACGGAGTTTCCACACCTATCTGGCTCTCTGTCAACTGCTACTGCTTTGCACCTCATCACAAAAGCCTCAGCGTGCTCTCTCTCGTTTCTGTTTCCACTCTCTTCTTTCCTAAAATAATCTCTCGATGTATTTGCCGCATGCTTCTATACATGCGCAAGTTTGCGTAGCAGGCGCCCAAAAGATTTTGGAAACCAAACAAGAACCGACCGCGAAGTAAGAGGACGCGCGCGTTCTTGTGTGTCCACCCTCCTCTTACGCCCCATATGAGGACATCTACAAGGAAAGTCATAGAAAGTTAGTTTCACTGAGGCTCGACGAATGAAACCTTACTCAAGAACTGTCGAGGGCATCGTGTGCAAAACGGGAAAAAGACAATGTTTATTCTACACCAGGACTACAACAAGCGATCAATTATTGCTCGACAAAATAAGTAGAGCTCTTAGTTTATAACTAAGGAATTTGCCCTTTGCAGGCAGCCAGATATCACGGATATCTATCGCGCAGTTTGCACAAAAAGCAGGAAATACAAGAATAAAGTAATGCCTGACATAACGTTGAAAGGTAAAGACAGTCATGACTGCACGAAGTCTTATTATTTAATCGGGTATTCAATCCGTGTTCAATCGCCAAAGGTCGATGACATGAAATAGAAAGCTTAGTTTAAAGCTAAGCTTATTGATGCTTGCAGATGGCAAGTGACGGAACATACTTGGAAACGTATAAAATATAAAAACCAGACGCTGAAGTTTAACCTGAATTAACTTTGAAATATTTACATGGATTTCTAGACTTTGCCAACACTCGTATCTTACCGAAGACTCCGTTTCGCATTAAGCTGAGATCAGCTAATTTCTTTCCTTGGTAAACAGATTTCCTGCCGGCAGGGCGAGTGGAAAAGTCTCGCATTTAGCACAGTGCGTGAAACAGTGCGTGTGTATCTGAATTACGTGTGTTTTCGATTCGATCAAATATTGTTGCATCACTTGCATGTGCATTCACGCTATTACAGTGATATCAGGTGAAACACTAGGGCATTCGTGGCCACATCCCATGCATATCAGTACGTAGAACAAAGGCATCCTAAGAATGTGGACAGATTGTGGGAAAACCTCGCTATACAGTTTATAAATTGCTGCTGACCACCCCACCTAGAATACGTTTGCGAGTCGCTTTTGCTCGCCCGCAGTGATAAGAAGACATCTGTTGGAGGGTATGTGTAAGAGGTACCAGTTTTTAATGGAGGGTATATAAAATGCCCACCTTCTTTGTCAAAAATGGTATATTAAAGGGTAAACTAAGGGGGTGCGGCTCTGGGTCGAGCCTCCTCCCAATTCACCTCAAGAATCAGGCCAGAGACGAAGGTTTTTTTTCCTCTCATCCCCTTGGTACAATTAAGTCTAGTGAAAATAGAAGATGGATATCAAATCTAGAAATAATAACGACAAGGAATTCGTACGAAAATATTACCTATTTATTAATTAATAAACAACAACAACAACTTTTTTTGAATTGCCATTTACATAGATTGAATTGCATAGAAGAAAAATAAAGGATGATAATAGAAAAATACAGCAATGAATTACAAAATATATAATAATTAATAATCAGTTACAACATCCTAACTCTTGTTTCGTTTTCTTGAAAGATTCGAAAACAAAATAACCGATTGTTTACAAATAAAATTATCTACGTTATTAAAAAGGAATAATATTATATCTTCTTCATTCAGAGTATAAAAGATGGGATATTTCGAGATTATATCATTAAAAAACGTTTTCCTTATACACAAATAAGAATCACAGTGAAGAAGAAAAAATCTTAAAATCAAAACTCGGTTGTTATTATTAAAACGGCGCAATGGTCGACAGTATGCCTGCCCATATGTAGCAATATTTAATCCCTGTTGATTCATATTTGATTTGGACTTGACTTCTTTTAAACTTAAACCACGCATCTAAAATTTATTTAAATTTAAAAGAGTTTTATTTAATCCTTTGGAAATTTCATTTAAACTTCTTACGGAAATCCATTTAATCTTCGATTAAATTATGGTTTAAACTTTGACATTTTCGTTTAATTCATTCTATCCATTTAAATTTAGACTTTGGAATTCCCATTTAAAATTTACTGAAAAATGTCTTTTAAACTGCTGAATTCTAACTTAATCCTTTAAATTGAAACGTTGACAAATTTCTTTAAACTTACCACTGTAAATTATGTTTAAACTGCGAAAGTAAAATTTATTTAATCTTCCTGGGGCGAGCTCGGCCGGGATCACCTGCTCAGGTCAAATGGCAAGGTCACATGTCGTATCCTCGGCTGCAATTTTTATCTGCAGTAGAAAGTGTGGACGAAGGAACAAAAGGAGGAGTGAGCGAATTACTAAGCGAAGCGTCAAGGCTTCTGCCTTCCAGCACCTCTTCTAATGTTGCTTCAAATTCCACTGACCTGAGCACGTGATCCCGGCCGAGCTCGCCCCAGGAAGATTAAATGAATTTTACTTTCACAGTTTAAATATAATTTACATTGGTAAGTTTAAAAGAAATTTGTTAACGTTTCAATTTAAAGGATTAAGTTAGAATTCAACAGTTTAAAAGACATTTTTCAGTAAATTTTAAATGGGAATTCCAAAGTTTAAATTTAAATGGATAGAATGAATTAAACGAAAATGTCAAAGTTTAAACCATAATTTAATCGAAGATTAAATGGATTTCCGTAAGAAGTTTAAATGAAATTTCCAAAGAATTAAATAAAACTCTTTTAATTTAAATAAATTTTAGATGCGAGGTTTAAATTTAAAAGAAATCATGTCCAAATCAAATATGAATCAACAGGGATTAAATATTGCTACATATGGGCAGGCATACGACAGCGTAACGAGGATTATATTCTTAAATTATTATTTTTTCTTTTAATAAATTAATTTTAGCACCTGCCTTTTTAAAGTTGAATTTATGTAAATAAAATATATATTGTTTATGGTAATCAGAAGCCTATCTGAGCTTCTGCGGTAACAAAGACCCTCGCGGAGACTACTCGATAAAATAAAATGCCCATCAATAAAAGCTGTTTGCATTTCTGATAGATGTATCGATTGAAAACAATTTTTGACAGTTATTTTGAAAGTTATGGAAGTTCTGATAGTTAAGAAAAAGGAAATCAAACAATCGCAAAACATCAGCACTCAAAAAGAGGTCAGAGGGGATTCTGCGTCGGTCATCCATCCAAAACTAACCGCGTTCGACAGGGCTTAACTTTGTGGAAAGGACACGTCTCAACATACAGCAGTAGCTTTTATTGAGCTACTGATAAAGAACAACTCGAAATGCTATTATACAACGTGATTATACCGTTACTGAAACTAACAGTAACATAGTTTAGAACTCATCGAAAAACGTACTAAATTACATTTATACTGAACCGTTTCGTATCGTTTTTAGATGTACTCAAGTAAGTAGGAGCGAGGCGACTACATTCAAACAACACGAAACGATCTGGTTAACAAGTACGGCTTATCACACAGTCGCTTTGCTCGGGGCACGTTTCTCGGGATTTCGCTTATTTGAAAGCCTTATCTCAAAGTACAAGTTCCCCATCGTCACCGGGCGAAACAGTACACATCATATCAGAAAGGAGTTTGCTGTGAGGGCCTTGGGAAGACAAACCCCAGCGTCGCCTATACTGCTGGCACTCAAAAGAAGAGATTCTTGAGGGAGGAGTTTGCTGTGAGGGCTTGAGAAAGAGAAGAAGCACCGGCCTCGCCAATACGGTTAGCACGTAAATCCAAACTAGTCAGGGAGGAGTTTACTGTGAGGCCTTGAGAAAGAGAAGAAGCGCCGGCCTCGCCAATAATGTTATAACCTAAATCCAAACTAGTCAGGGAGGAGTTTACTGTGAGGGCCTGAGAAAGAGAAGAAGCGCCGGCGTCGCCAATACAGTTAGCAGGTAAATCCAAACTAGTCAGGGAGGAGTTTGCTGTGAGGGCTTGAGAAAGAGAAGAAGCGCCGGCCTCGCCAATTCCGTTACCACCTAAATACAAGCTAGTCAGGGAGGAGTTTAATGTGAGGGCTTGAGAAAGAGAAGAAGCGCCGGCCTCGCCAATAATGTTACGACCTAAATCCAAACTAGTCAGGGAGGCGTTTGTTGTTAGGGCTTGAGAAAGAGAAGAAGCGCCGGCGTCGCCAATACGGTTACCACTTAAATACAAGCTAGTCAGGGAGGAGTTTACTGTGAGGGCTTGAGAAAGAGAGGAAGCACCGGCGTCGCCAATTCTGTTATAACGTAAATCCAAACTAGTCAGGGAGGAGTTTACTGTGAGGGCTTGAGAAAGAGAAGAAGCGCCGGCGTCACCAATACTGTTACCACCTAAATCCAAACTAGTCAGGGAGGAGTTTACTTTGAGGGCTTGAGAAAGAGAGGAAGCGCCGGCGTCGCCAATACTGTTACCACTTAAATACAAGCTAGTCAGGGAGGAGTTTACTGTGAGGGCTTGAGAAAGAGAAGAAGCGCCGGCGTCACCAATACTGTTACCACCTAAATCCAAACTAGTCAGGGAGGTGTTTGTTGTGAGGGCTTGAGAAAGAGAAGAAGCGCCGACGTCGCCAATACGGTTACCACTTAAATACAAGCTAGTCATGGAGGAGTTTACTTTGAGGGCTTGAGAAAGAGAGGAAGCGCCGGCGTCGCCAATACGGTTACCACTTAAATACAAGCTAGTCAGGGAGGAGTTTACTGTGAGGGCTTGAGAAAGAGAAGAAGCGCCGGCGTCACCAATACTGTTACCACCTAAATCCAAACTAGTCAGGGAGGTGTTTGTTGTGAGGGCTTGAGAAAGAGAAGAAGCGCCGACGTCGCCAATACGGTTACCACTTAAATACAAGCTAGTCATGGAGGAGTTTGTTGTTAGGGCTTGAGAAAGAGAAGAAGCGCCGTTTCCGCCAATACTGTTATCATGTAAATCCAAACTAGTCAGGGAGGAGTTTACTGCGAGGGCCATGGAAATCGCAGTAGCACCAGCATCGTGTATGCCTGTTTCGCCAAAATTCACTTCAGTCAGGGACGACATGTCAAGGTGCTTACCTAAACTAGAAACTAAGCGAGTTTCAAGGTTGTCCTGGACACTTGAACATTCCAACAAACACTCACAAGCTAAACTCATATATGATTTACGGTCTTCGGCAGAGCTGATTTTTTTAGCAATAACAATAAAGAACGACATTGCAGTTTCCTCACTCCGCAAGGCCATGATGCCACTCATGAACAAAAAGACCTGTCTCAGTTTATCCAAGTATCTCTTATCGTCTACAACTGAGGTAAAGTCTCTTTCTTTGCTGATACTTTGAAACGCAAGGAAAAGGCCAGCAAAAAACTCCTGAAAGCTTTTGTGTAAAAATGCACAGCGCGTGGAAGGTTTGCGCTTGGCGGCACCTTGTTGAAAAGACAAGAATCCAAAATTGATACGCTTGACGGTATCTTCCTTCTTTTCAAAGTACGACTCTCCTTTAAGTAGGGATTCTAACGCGAAGCTGCCCAAAAGCAAAAGTTCTTTCTTATAACCTGAAATCAAGTCCTCACCGCTGCTTTTAAGTCCGTTTTTTACTTCGTATCTTCTCAAAACAAAGGTAACTATTTCAACGTACAACTCAGTCCTGCTTGTTGGAAGAACACCTTCCAAATCCTCGAAAAGACAACAGAGTAAAGCTGTATTGAGTGGATTTTTTGTTAACTCGCCTAGCGTTTTAAGTGGATCATCATCATACTCTGGAAGTGTCAATCGTTCAATCAGCTTCTCAGCCAAGTGTTCCTTGCCTTTAAAATACTTTCTGATAAAACTTTTCGCATCCTCTTTAGTAAATCCTACAACCTCCCACAGGGCGTCACAGTATGGCCTTACTTTCTCTCCAACCTCATGGCGAGATGTAATGACAATGTGACAAGCTGGGAGGAGTTTACTCTGAACGAGCGAGTAGTACATGTCCAGTCTAAAGGAATCTGCCTCATCTAATCCATCAAGCAGTAGCAAACATTTGGCCTGATTTTCTCGGATGTATTTGAAAAAATTCTCCTTAGCCTTTTCGTCAATAGCATCAGGAAGAAGTTGGTCGTCAATAGCTTCCCAGATGCCAGATTTAACATCGTTGCATCTAAGCAAGAGCAGCACTTCAATTGATGGAAAAGACGAGTCCCATTCATCTTGTTTATTTGCCCAGTCATACGCCAGTTTTTGTGAGTAGGTGGTTTTTCCCTTGCCAGGTTCTCCTTCGATCAAAAGAATCCGTGGTTTCGGGCAATCAGGGTGGGGTCTAAAGATAGCAGTCATGTTGGTGATTTCATCATCCGTCAATGTTCCACGCATTTTTTCTTTGTTCACGATCTTCAGTCGGGTGAAAATCTCATTCAGGTTGAAATTAAGGTCATCACACCATGGAAATGGTACCAGCCGTCCTTCACGACGTTTGTAAAGCTGACGAATCCATTCTATGATAGCTGGCACCCCTGAGAAATACAAGATCCAAAAAATAAGATCGATTTGGTTTTATTATACTGTCATACAAGCCGTCCACGCTCTGTATATCGTCTACGATACGCTTTTATGGTTTTGTAACGTTGCAAAACGAACGAGTTGAAGATCGATATAGACGACCTTTTTAGGATAACTATAATGATTCTCAATCCTAATTAAGAAGAAGCATGAATTATGTGAAGAAATATTTACAAAACCCAACACAGGTTTGTCTTTACGTCGCTTATGTAATTTGCACTTAATAGACCCTTCCAAGATTTTAAGTAAGCAATTATCCATCGACACTACACTACTGGAGAGCGCCTTAAAACTTACCTTGTTTAAAGGCGATACGTTCAGAGCGAGCGAAGATATTCTTCAACCGTGACAAAGTCCCGAAATTTTATGCAGACTTTTGTATGGTGGGGGGCATGAACTTGCTCTCTTCCATAGAAACGTCTGTACAATTTCGCGTCTTTTTGGAGCTATATGTTGGTTAGTTTTAACAAAACACTCTTTAACTCAGCAAGTGATTTTAAGGTCTTCTTTCCAGCCAAATGGTCCAAATCAAAACTGTTAAAATACGTAGGAAGGTCTATTTTCTATGATAAAATCGCTTGTGGTAGGCTCATTTTTTTCCTAGACTGCCAAACAGTATTTTTCTTTGAGAAAATTAAACGCTGCTCGTTAGACACAGAGCTCCGTGGACGCCGTGTGTCGCACGCGAGCCCCACACGAAAATTAGTCACTCTCTCCAGTATCACTCTCCGTTTTCACTCTCTGTTTGATGAGTGAATGTATTCATGACAAACGCAAATCAAAGCTGTTTTGCGTCTATGGTTTTTCCTAAATAAAAAAAGCTTTATTAAAGCAGGAAACTTTACCATACCGCACAATTTTGAGCATTTTAGGGGTATTACTGTTGGTTTCTTCAAAAGCTGTACTAACATAATGCGAACCATAGACTGACTATAGACTTATAAAGTGTCACAATTTCAGTGCGTTGTTAGAGAAAGATACCTGCAAGATGCTGCTGGGTTATGGATTCGTTTTGCTGAGATAAGTGGTCAGAGTACATTCCCCTTTTGGTTTGTCGTGAGATCTGGTCATCGCAAGAAGCACCTGTGAAGAAAATCGTTGGTTGAGACGCGGGCCACATCATGTCCATCTATTTCAGTTAACCTTGTCGGACTTCAAGGTCTCATGCCTACTCCACAAGACTGCAAGGTCATGTGGGTAGCTGCATGTAAATTCTTTGCAATTTGGTCATCCATTCGCGGCCGACAGTGCCACAGAATAGTATATAAGAAATGTCACAAACTTTTACCTTCTTCAGAATTTGGTAAATTTTATATGGAATTACCCATATTATTTGCGATCTCATCGCAAAGACTTTCCTGTTGCAACGTTAATCAAAATAGCTGTAGGCCGACAACAGCATATTTGCGTTTGAGTTGGGTGGATTTACTAGCACATTTCCTTCTTTTAATAGACTGTGATTACGTACACAAGAATAAACTGACTTAAAGTCAACTCTGTCAGGCGCATGTGCGGCGCTGTACGCGTCTCATGATGAATGTTTTGCTCATTTCGCCCCATATAAGGTAATCCAAGAAAGTCTTTGATCCTGGATTCACGCTGTGAATTCTGGACTCCACATACTGGATTCCGGATTCCTTGTCAGTTGAACTTAGATTACGGATTCCAATTGCTGCGGGATTACGGATTCCTGGGACTGAGTTCCGGAATCCAAGAGTTAAATTCCAGAATCCAAAGCCCAAAATTCCGAAATCCACGAGCAAAAGACTTCCCGGATTGCATTGGTGAGGCGACTCATTAAAACCAAAGTGAAGCAAAGAGTGGAATAGGTCTGCTTCTTAGTCTGGTTCTTAGTTAGCTTCTGCTTCCTAGCACTATCGTGCTGAGCCTCAAAGAGACCATCCACTGAAAGAATCAGCCAAAGACAACATTAGCGTTTTGTGTCTTACTCTTAGTCGATACGCAATTTATAGCTATGGAAAGAACGTATAATCTGAATTTTTGACCAGAAACGACGCACATTTTCTTCAAGTTTGTCTAACTCTCAAAGTGCTAGACTTAAAGTTGAGCGTCTAAAAGTTGAGGTAACGACCCCAATCCTCTCAAGTGCTTCTTTCTAACTGTGACAGAATTCGTGCGTGACATTACGGAACGTTTTTAATTTGAACTAGTTTTGAAGGACCTTGAACTCTGAAGTGAACCTCGAGCCTATTTAACGTCGATCGCCTTACTATTGACACGCGTGTGAAAGACAATAGAGCCTTAAAATACCCTTATCGCTTAGTTTTTGATCTAGAACGAGAGAAGAGTGTATGTAGTTTTTTTGACAGTTTTACTTTTCCGGAATTGTAAAGTCCGTGTGAAAAAGTGCAGAACCAGAACGTGAATTAAACCCTGAATTTCAATTTCTTAAACTAACTCTTAATTTCACGCCGCTTGGCGATGAAGATGGAATATCAGAATGGACAAAAATATTGACAAGCCTTTTGATCTCGGATCTGAGCTTCCGCACTGTCTCACTCAATACCGCACATTCAAGACTTCTTTTACTGACGGCAAATTCGGCCTGTTACCCCTGCGCCTAATCATCACACACCAAACTGACAAGAATTTATACCTGAGTAATGAGGCCAAGTGCGAAAAACACAAGGATCACTTAAAATGTGTGAGACAAGAGATGCTGCCATCATACTAGCACAGGCCTCCCAACTTTCTGCAGTCGCTTGCTCACCATCCGCAAAATCAGCTATCCCTTTAACAATGAGCCACTCGAGTTGAGAATCATATGCAGCGGTGAAAACACCTGAAATATGGAATACAATTAGGAAGCATTATTTTTAGGAAATCAAGTCTTGCGGACTTAAGAAACTAAAAGAATAATTGTCTTGCACATAGACGCATGTGTAAATCTTTACTTTCAAATAATTTTTAAAGGTTAAACTTTCACAAAAATGTCTCTCTGATTACAAACTGGAAGTTAACTGCCCAGAGACAAGAAAACACCGAATCAAGGGATGCCAGACCCCAACGACAGCCAAGTACGACAGATTATGATTTTCATGCCGTTTCTTTTGATTTGCTGACTGCAATCTCTCTCTGTTTTATTCAATAATTTACTTTATTGTTAATTATAAGGGAAAAAGTTCACTTCATATTCCGTTGACGTTCTGTTAAGTTTGCAGCTGTAAAGTTCTGAATCTTGATCGAAAGCTGTTTGCGTTGCACGTAATCAGACGATCACAGATCAGACTTAAACAACACAGACATATTTTCCCATTTATTTTAGCGATTACATGTATGCCTCTTGTTTAATTTTACTCCATAATTGTTGCGTGAAAATGGTGCCAAGTGTATATCAGTTATTTCAATGAAGTGTGTAAACACCTATTTTCACATTATGATCCAGTACAGAGGAACTCCGTTAATACGGCCAATTTTGTTTGACCCATTGGTGACCGTATTAACGGAGTTCCAATGTATTGGATCATAATGTGAAAATACGTGTTTACCGGGGCAGGGTCAAATTTCATAACGTACGGGACTTAACAACAAATACACCATATATCGCAGTCGCACTTCTTGAACAACTGTTCTCTTCTAAACAAACAACCGGAATGTAGATATCGCGAACAGTAATTGTAAAAGATGCTTCAACCTTTTAGCGACGGCCGACGAGTAGCGAAAAAACCGCTTTTTTCACCAATTTCCTCTTCTTTGGACTGGTTTTCGGCTAATAAGCATAAGAATGATTAAAAATGAGGCATATTTTCCGACTAATAGGACGTAATTAAACAGCTTTTTTCTTTTTCACGCATGCGAACAAGCTAAAATTTGGACTTGGACTTGAACTTTTTATGGCGAATCTCTTTCGATCTTTCTCTCTCGCTGTCCTTTTTCCTTTTTCCTTTCTTCTTTATTAGCAGTTTTGTTGCCCGCTTTTCGGTCTTTCTTTCGCATGGAATTGTGGCTGGCCAACTTTTTAGGAAAGGGACAAATATAATCGTCAAAGAGGAGTGGGTAAACAGCGAAATTAGCAGTGGGTTTCTCCTCAAAATATTACCTGTTTTTGTGAGTGTAACTTTGTTAACATTGGTCAGAATATCCAAAACGAGATATCGCTGGAAAGATCTATCTTTGCTTACGTTGTTGCTCACCAATTTATTAACTTACACTGAAAGCTTAAGGGATCCAGGAAGAAAGATATGCATCGTTCACATGGAACGAAAACGACCACCGCAGTCGTCGAAGGGCTAAACTCTCCTTCAGTGCACAAAACACTTTTAAAAATCCGCTATTAAACCGCCACAAATAGTACAAATGCATTTTAGGTGTACTGTAGTTCAAAAAACGATACAAGATCAGGCTCACGCATTTTAATTTTCTAAATTTCGAACGAGTGGCCGTATTAACGAGGTAAAATTATAAAAGATTCTACTGTTTGGGATTTTAAAATGTGGCCGTTGGCCGTATTAACGGGTGACCGTATTAATGGTTTTTTTTTTAATCAGAAAAAGTATGGCGCGGCCGTTTGGCTGTAATAACGAGGTGAGCGTATTACCGAGGTGGCCGAAGGCGGGGTTCCACCGTACATCGGACCACTAATTCTTAAAGCAATTGTCATGTAGGCATTCAAAATAAAAATTTTCGTCGCTCCTTCAATAGCCTGCCTGGCAGGCGCCAGATAGTTCTTTTGGTCCGTTTTTTAAAGCGCGCGAGAAAAACACGCGAAGGGGAGAGGAGTCCGGACTCCTCTCCTTTTTTCCCGTCGTTCGAGCGCGTCCTCCCTTCGTTCTAAAAAAAACTGGCGCCTGCTTTACTCTTCCAAAAACTTTTAGTCACAAATGTTTCCCAAAACAGATGTCAAAATGCCTACCTGCTGACACTGAGAAGCAATACGGCTAATAGTCCTTTTTCGACAACATTAACGACACATTCATACAGCGTAAGCCTCGACATAAAGTAAAATATTCACAAATTTCGGCAGGTCTTCTTCTCGTTGGAATTTGTGAATATATTTACTTTTGGTGGAGGCTAACCCTGTAAAAAATGCGTCTTCACTTCTTTTATTTAGCGGTCATAGCGAACTCGAAACTGGACTACAGTGTATTTCATAAATATTTACCAATCCCAGCCATGAAGGTAAACGTTTATGACGTTTAAAAGCATTCTATGGTACTGTTAGCCGCACCTTTATGACCGAATTACAACTGAAGGATCTACAGCTACCCACATAACCTTGAGTCCTGGTCACGTAGGCCTGAAGCCTTCATACGACAACGTTAACTGAAATAGCTGTATAAGAACGCTATTGTTAAAAGCTAGCGTGACATGCACTCACCTTCGCCCTCCATCTCTACTCCTGCCGCAAGGGGGTGGCGGTCGACAAGTTCCTTTCGACGCCATTGAGCTCTGATCTCCTCTGGGCCACTTAAGAACTCGCCATTCCAGTGAACTCTGATCTGATGATCTTCTGGGTTCTTTAAAGGTGCCTGCCATCCATCAGCGCAGTTCGAGATTATTTTTGAGAAAAGCCTGCTCACGTGACTACTCATCCCAGCTGACTGCTCTTGGTCGCTTGTCACCACTTTGGATGGATATGTTGTTAGTTTGGCTGATACAACAACGTCCCCTAACTTGGTTTTGTCAGGATTGAGACCACTGCATACCCCAACAGATATCACAGCCTTGGGTTGTAAAATAAGGGCGGCATTCTTGACGGCAATCAGAGAGCTGCTTGGGCCAATGGAACCTTCACTGCACCTTAGCAGAGCAACTTTAACTTTCTCTTCATGACTTTGAACGTTGTTGAAGTAAACGTAACCAACATCCTGGTAATAACATCTGTAGGGATCTTTTAGTTCATTGTAACAGGATAAGAACTCACACTCCTTCACGGTTACCAGTAGAACATCAACCGGTAGATCTGGCCGTTTCCATGTTGTTGTAACATCTATTGTGGATGGAAGAACAACTGCCAGCTGTGGTGGGCCAGCATTGCTGTCCTTTAAATTAAAGCTAAACGCCTTCTTTGAAGCTTCTGACATGTAAGTTTCGGCTAGATTCCACTGGCGACATAAAAGGAAAAAGTATCACACAATTTAGCCTTACATTAACACCCATATGCATTACAACAAAGTTTTTGTAAGAACGTGGAAGTAAAACATTATGATTGTACACGTAATTAAGAACATTACTCACTCGGGCTAAGGTGTACATGGGATCATTTTATATCATCTTGTTAAACCAAGCAAGGTACAGAAATCATGATACAGTACGCAGAGTAACCGTTGTAAACTTAAAAGCACAAGAACTACACTTATAGTTGGAATCACATGCTGTATCTAGAGATGATGCCAATGCATATTCCACTGCACAGCATCAAGATAAAATCTAATCAACAAGTACAATGGTTTAAAGGAAGACTAATTACATTCGTTGTCCACTTTATGGTTGACTAAGTACAGTGACTTATGCTTAATTTCCGCCCACTTCCCCACCCCCCCTCCCCCCACAAAAAAAGGGGGCAAAGACACAAGCAAAGATACAAGCTAATAAGAACTTTCGGTCCTTGCTAAGCCTTGGCTAAATAAACTGACATGTAATGCAACCCCCTGATACAGCAAGAGCGGAGCCTCAGCACATGAGCTTTGTCTCAGTGAACAGTGAAAGAAACACAACAAAAAACTGTGCCTTGTTTCTGCTAGCCTGTGCAATGGTAAACATTTCAAAGAAAAGGAAAAGGGAAAATTGGCTTCGTGAAAATGTAAAGAGTGTGGATGCCCTTACAAGTGTTGGCTCGCCTACAATCTCTTTTTTCTATCTCTACTTTCGAATGCCTAACACACAGACTACAGTGTATGAGTAGTCTGGTTACAAACAAACATCGCCCACTGTATTCAGTCTGGGTTTTTACTGCTACAAAAGGAGGCTAAAACTAGAGAATGAAAAGCAGTGATAAATATTCTTAATAAAGTGAATTGAATTGAAAATAAAAACATTTCAGCTTCTTATGTCTGGAAGGTCAATTAGGCAAACTTAATTCAAATTGCTCAAGAGACCGGGAAAACTGGGTGGGGGGGAGGGGTTGTGGTAGCAGGTTTTGACCAAGATGACAACAAATGCACGACTTCAATAAGAATTAGTTGCTTGGTCATTTCTTTCATACTTTAATGAGCCACGCCAGAGCCTACAGTACAGCTTACATCACAGAGAATATGACATGATACTTGTAAACGAAGCTTTTTCAAATGACATTGTGCACTCTCTGGAAGTGCCTAGAGTGTATTGAATTTCTTTAATCAACCTCAGTCTATTAGAACATAGCTATCTCTAAAACCCAAGCGGCAGGTCTTTCTCCTTACTGTTCATTACAACTTCAGGCCAATTTAAGTGTGTATTTCAGAGATTGGCATAACCGCTGGATTTTGTATCCTGAAGGCTCAATGAAGGCTCCTTCAGACATTCCCTTTGAGAGAGTACTCATTTTGACTAGGTTAAAATAAGGTGAGATTTTATGGCGGAAGACTCGGAAGCTAATTCAAAGAAATGGAAGAATGGCTTAATTAAGCTGTCCTGGGCCGCGAAGATATAAACGTATCCTTTCGTTCTAAATGCGTCAATAAAACTGCAGAGAATTATTGCACATGTTGTGGTGGAAGTTTATGGATTTAAGTCTTTTGCAAAACTTCTTTAACTTGGATACATATTTTTTAAACAGAGAGTTTTGAGAGCCTCAAAAAAAAAACTTAAACGAGAAATTTTGACCATTGTGGACCATTGTAAGAATTTTCTGTCGCCTATCAAAGAAAGGAGGATAAAAATAAAGAGAACAGACTTTTAAATCAAGCAAAGTCATGCAAAATGCAAATTGCACAATCTGCGCTGGACAAAGAATCTTTCATGCAGCATCAGCTGACAAACACCCAGGCAGTAGATGTTTCTGATGTAGATGTTTTCTGATATAGCATTTGATCTCAAATACAGTTTACTAAATGGTTTTCTTTTACCACTGTTAAAGCCTTAGACTTTTATTGCGGCTAAATAACCTTAGTTTCTTTGGTTTACTCTGAAATGCTTAGCTTGGACCTGCATGATATGAATACAAAATGTGTACATGCATGTGTGTACAAAATGACGTACGTTTTTGTTGGTGAATATATATCATTATGTCCTAATTTGTTTTCGTGCTAGAAATGTATGGCATTCCATTTCCGCCACAACTCAATATTCCATTTTACATTGTACTTTGCACAATCTATCCTACATTTTGCGTTTGTCATTTGAAGTTACACTCACGATTTAACGTTCTTGCATTCAACATTCAACTTTGACTTATGCGACATTCAAGTTTTCGCATTCGCATTCAACTTTTCATAAGCAACAGTCAAGTTTTCTAATTCGATCTTCAAGTTCAGTGGAATGTACATTCATTTTTTGGCATCCACCATTTAGCATTTGGCCTTTAATTTTTGGCTTCCGACACCCGACTTTGGGCATTGTACTTGCAAGTTTCCGCATTCAACATTCAGCTTCTCGAATTGAACTTTTACCCGCTGGTCAGCGAGCGATGGAGATTGTGGGCTAGTTGACCTGACCCACCCCTGCACAAATGGTGGTCGAGAGTTGGTCGAGAGACTTCCCAGTGGAGTGGACTCGGGAGACCTTCTCCACTCCCGACAAACTAGACGTCGACAGACATGTTCTCGACCATGTGATAAAAGCCGCCGATCGCAAACATGCTGATGCAGCCAGTGCAGCTGCTAGTTAAAGCGAGGTGAGAGCCACTCTCTTGAGTTTAGCTGACCGTCTGCCTTCTATGGAAGAAACACCATCTCCAAGTAAGTATCGGGCAACCTTTGTCAGGTATGAAGAAGTTATGTGTTCAATAAAGTTCGTGTTCGCACCGACACAAGCATACATGTACGCATAATGCCTAGTCAATTCCAAGCGTTGCTATCCCCCCTCGGGGGCATTTGTCGGGCATTTGTCATCTGGTCGATCCCGGTGGTGGGGACTCTGTCAGAAAACCTCTGCCCGGGGATGAGGCATTTGTCAATTCTTCTAGAAGAGGTCAACGTCGTTCCTTTTTCAAAACTTCACTTAAAAATATGAACATTCAGATAGCTTTAGCTATTTCTATAAATAATATTTTTAATACTGACTTATGCTTTAAAAAGATATGTGTGGTTTTCACTCCATCACTTCCCTACCCCACAGTACGTTTTGCATCTGTCCCACCATCGTGATCAGTTCGCATATGGATGAAAAACAATCAATGTATAGTTCGAAGTGGAATACAATTTCTTTGGGCCGTAAATGTTTCAGGTAGAAAGGCCTAGAAAACTCTGTGAGATATACAAAAGTGAATATAAACTTTGTGTATTATCGAGAGCCATTATGGCTCTTGGTATTGTACGATCAATGCGACAATACACTGACGAGACAGTTCCATCATGATGAGAAAATACTCATCTTAAGCTCGTTGGTTGTTTGTTTTCATTCACTATATTAAACATCTTCGAAAATAATACTGAGATCTATATCGTGGGCTTCTTTCTTACAAAGTATCAATTTGTTACATTTTTTTAAGATTACATGTTATGGCATTATTATGTGTCCAATTGAAAAACTGATTGACAACCTCACTAGAAAGATCTACTTCATTCGTACATAATTTGACTTGCAGGGCAGTGTCATCAGTAAATTTGACTATGCTAGTAAGGTCGTTGTCCCTAATGGCCAAATCATGAATAAACAAGGTGAAAAAGGTGGGGTCCAGTAACACTACCCTGGGCGGTTCCTTTGTTTACACTATACGATTTCTAGCGGAGCTCCGGCGCGCGAAGCGCGCCAGCGGAGCACCATGGGTAAGAAATATTGGTAAACCATCCATCCAATAAAATTTGGTTATGATGTAGCGTACGCCCGTACACTCTTTGCGGGGGAGGGAAGGGAATCAAGTGTCAGCCCGTCCGGGGGAGGAGTATGTTATAAATCGCGCGATGCATTTGGGCAACCCGCCTTTTTCTTGGCGGGAAATCGCGCAAGAAATGGCGTGGCGTTCAAAAACATGTTTACTTCAACTACTTCATTGCATAAAGATTTTGTGACCGTAGTGCTAGTTTCTAGTAAACTGTTTCGAAAAAATTGTTATGACAACAAACAATAGCGGATTGAATTCAAACTATTTGCTTGTAAGTGAAGAGCGACGGGAAAGAGAAAGAAGAGAAAGGCATAGAGTAAGAATTAACAGGCGCGCTAGCGAAGAGGATTCAAGTGGAAAATTTATGCAGCATCTGCGACTTGTTCACTGATAGCTGAAGCTGACAGAGTTTTGAGTCATCTTGTGATGTTTTTACCTGTCTTTTTGCACTGGATCTACAAAATGAAATACAGCAGCTATTAACATTCTTTTGCTATCCTTGGCTGGCTTGTTTACTGGATTGTGGTTGAAAAAATGCACCGTACGACAAAAACAAATCGGGAATCATCGTTTTCAAAAATAAGCTACTCTTAGTAAGCTTACTTCGCCTTGTTGGACTGTGCGAAAAGTCTTAAGCGATTCTGGCCTTACTTGATGGGTTTCCGTGCTGCATCTCGACCGGTAAGCTTGAGTAATTTTATTGCATTTTATGTGTTTTCTTTTTCCATGTTTATGCCGTCATTTTACGCACATTTGTAAGATTTGAGAAATTTACCTGACCTAGTAAAGAACTTAAAAAGTCTTAAGACATTTTCTGACCGCCACTAGAAGAAAAAGTTCTGAAAAATAGTTTGATTATCCTATTGTTTGTAAAAAGAAAGCTTTGAGCGATATTCTTGCCTGGAGTTCATCTTGCAAAATAGCAAACACGGCGAAGGCGGCTTAAAACTTAAGGCTAAATCTGCAAGGTTTTATTCGTGACTCAGGATTTTCAGAGACACTTTACTCGCAAAACACGTCTTCGGGAATAAAAATTGTTGACCTTTAAATGTTTCTTTGCATTATATTTCTTGTCTTGGTTGTTTGTCAAGATCTCGTTCTTACATGATCGTTTTGCCAGTTGTTGTTTTCAGTCATCCGTGAGGTCCGTCCGTGAACACCACATGCAAGAGTACTTAAAATGCCGCGTGTATCAAATGAATATGGCATTTAGGAAGAAAAATGCAAACGAAAATGATTCTGAGACCTCTTCTTCATTACCAGCGTTCATTCAAATACTCGACAGGTCTCATTATAAGTTTTGGCGCTTGGCAAAATTCAGAATTGGCTGGTCGGACGGGTGATTTTGTAAGCTCAATTAAAATATATTTTCTTCGAAATTTTGTCCTCAAAGCCCGTTATTACCCCGCATACTAAATAATGGTAGATTGGCCTGACTGAAAAGTCCCGTCTAATGGTGAATTTTCTATATAAAAGCGTTTTATAATGCTGTTATTTTTATCATTTGTTGTGGAAGGGAAGCGTGTGTTTTGATCCTCCTGAATACTGAATGAGTGCAATTTGTCTTGTAAGATTATTCCGTAAAAAACTGCAGAATTATCATTAAAATAGGGCAGAAAATGACATAAATTCTGTCGGAGGTCTGAAAACAAACAACACCTGATAGTTCTGTTTACATCAGAGATGGTGTAAAAAGGCTCGTTTACGCGCTATCAGCTAGAATTGTACCGAGCCACTCAAAAAAAATCCAACCTGATTTTTCATTTTGGCCTTTCCTGTACACAGAGAGACATCGATAAGTTGTAACGAGTAAATTGGCTGCCACCAGGGACTATGGCGTCTTTACGGCCTTTATAGCATAAAATTATAAAATTATAAAATAAAGGTGGTATAGGTGGGCACGGCTGAGGTGAATTTGCTCGGGAAGAATTTGTTTTCCAAGCCTAATCTACTGTGGCCAAAGGTGATTTCTATTTATTAGGTGTACAAAAGAGACTATTAACCCGATGTAAGATTTTAGATGTTGCTTCATTTTTGCACTGTTTGCAATTATTTTTTCTCTTAAGTCACCCAGCCGTCATATGGATCTCCCCAGTTCACCGATTTGTGGATAGAAATTTATGGTTTGATTTAAATTATAAATTAATTACTAGAGCTACGCTTTTAGCCATGGCTAAATCTATATATTAGGTAACGCTCTTACATATTAGTCGTTGTTTCCTATCCACTAGAAAGCTTAAATACCAGTTCACAACATATGGATTAAGAGGAAGAGCCTTTAGCTTTTCCCCAACTAATGAGCGTTGCACATTATCAAAGGCTTTTGAAAAATCCATTGCAAAAAGCTAACACAGTTACAATCCTTATCATCAAGTGCCTTTAAATAGTTGTACTGTACTTGAATTAAGGCGTCCGCGCAACTACTGCAATCCCTATACGAAAATTGGGTGTCCGTCAGATTTTCCTCAAAGACTTTCTTACTGTAGTGATGATAGTTCTTTCAAAACAGCGCGCTATGACTGGAGTCACGTTAATCCCGTCATAAGGGTCACAGCATGAAAGAGACATAAGGCTTTTACAAACTCGTTTGTGGATCACGCACATAAATACAGCCACTATCCTCTTTAACCCGACAAGGCTAAGCTTATTGGAAGACATCCTCATTGTCACTTCCGTAGGGTAAAACAGACTAGCGTGCTACGTAACATCGACTTCACCCTACCAACATCTACAGAGAATGCAGAAGCGTGAATGCGCAACACCGTTCGCTGCAGGAACAGATTCTAACATTAACAATGCTAAGGATCAAAATCCACCAACCATGAGTGAGGTTAGAAATGCACCAGTCACTAGCAACCAGGGTGCTACTGAGAGGTCTTCACGCCCCGATCAATAACAAAGACAAACGATAAGGAGTCTTTTTTAAAAACAACTGAACTAAGAAGTGTACTATTTGTTAGAGTTTTACAAAACATTCATATAACTTTCAAACTGTGCCCAGCTCATAATGACTTTTTCACATATTTCTTTTATATCTACCTGAGAAAATTCTGTCGGCGCGGCATCAGTAGGTAAGGTCTGTTCGCCCCCAGTTTTAACGGCAACTAATGAAAGGTCATCAGGAAGGGAGGTGTTTTCAACTGGTTCAACAATTCCTGAAAAACAATAAAAACACCCGTAGTTTTAGTGCAGCTGAGAGATGAACGTAAAACGCAGGAGGAATAAGCAATTATCTAGCCAAAGGCAATTTCTCTTCTACCCCTAAGGACTTGCATCCTCACCGTGCATGTGCAAGATAATGGAAAGAGCATTAGGAAACAGGAAACAGGGTCAACCTAGAGTAAGCTGCGGGCAGACTAGCCTGAGAACACACCCGACATTTGGAGACGCTACCACTGGTTTCCCCGCCAAATGACGTCTGAGAAACGAGCGCAGAAATTCCGTACTGATGACGCCAGATCTGGGTTGTGACGTGTCATCAGTATGGAATTTCTGCGCTCGTTTCTCAGACGTCATTTCGCGGGGAAACCAGTGGTAGCGTCGTGGTGCTGTAGGTTATGTTGGAAGCTTCCTGACCGTGGACAATCACATGTTTTTTGTTCACAAATTGTGACTGAATATATTAATGGGATGTTTCTATTGGTCAGTAAGATCAAAATGATAGGAATGCTATTGAACTTTGTGCACGTTCAGGTCCAAAAAAGCTAACAAAAACCTATAACAAAGGGCATCCCAACCATTTCACTTTTAATAAATTAACTTTGCTAACACGTATTGCTGGATGTCGAGTTCGCTGTGCACAGAACCTACTAGTATGGATTTGGATTTTTAAACCAAACAAAAAGCAACCAATCAATCGAGACACCAAGTCCAAAGGTGGCATTATCGCCTTTAGCCTGGATAAAGGTGCAGTGCAAAGATGACTACTAGCGTCTCACTCGTGCACATGCAACGATCACACAGCAGGCTTACTGTGAGTTTGCTGGAACTTTGACCAAAAATATGGGAGACGTAAGGGCTAGTTTATATTTTACAAGGAGTGAGGACAAATACTAAGACGCTAAATCATTTAAAATTTTAAATGTTAAAAAAAGCGTAAGCCAACAGTAAGTCAGTGCAAGTCTTTCAAGACGGGACTTATATCGACGGATTTTCTTTTTCCGAAACTAAGCGTGCGGCACAGTTCTGAACTTGCTGCAGCTTACATGTATATATTTCTCGCTTGGGTAGGCCACAGGTGTATAAACTGTTACATAATCAAAGTGTGTCATGACGAAAGCACTGACCATCATCTTAAGGTGATCGTTGCTCAGCCAAACTTCCTCGAACTGCCAATAAACCGAACTGCCAGCAAAGCCTGTATAGCATTGAGCTCTCTATCTAGGTTGACACCAAGTGTATAAACTCAGCCTGATGGTTGTACTAGAGCGTTGCCAATAGAAAAAACACTAAAAAACTGGGTTCTTGAAGAACCAGAACTAAACTGAATGGCCTTTGTTTTACAAGGATTGCACTTATATTTGGTGTTCCATTTTATAACTTCACAGATACTCTTCTGAACGGTGTTCAGGGTAGGACGTTCATCAAAAGGACCAACAGTAACGTATAGTTGAGAATCATGTGCATAGAAAGTACAGTCTTGGTTATGAGCAGAGATTATGGCTTGAAAAGGCGCTATATAAAGGGTAACCAAGAGAGGTCCTGGTAACGACCCTTGCCAAACTCCAAACCCTAACCTCCGACTGCTAGATGTTGTGTTTGCAGTGATAACAGAATGTGTGCGACTAGTAAGACGAAAACCATGTTAGCACCGTGTGGGAAAAACCGAAGTAATTAAAAACCAGTATAGTATGGTCCAGGGTATCAAAAAGTGCGACTCACAGATCAAGCATTAAAACAACATCATGCCGACGATCATTACATGTAGTTCATAGAAATATTATTCATAACTCGAAGCAGGGCAGTCTCGGTGGAGTGATCTTTACGGTAGGCGGATTGCACAGAAGACATTAAAAGATTTTTCTCCAAGTACGAATGGAGAGAATAAGAATCATGTTTACGGCAAATGGCAATCGTCAGATTTAAGTTGACTGTTTCTCAAAACAGGAAATGAGCAGTTAAAAACTGTGTAAACTAATTCTTGGGGATGAAAATAACGTGAAACTATCGATTTGTTTCAAAGAAGTAATGAACTGTACACGAAACGTTGAGGGGAAACTCGGTCACGTGGTACAAATTGGCGTTTGCCGTAAACGTGATTCTAAATCTCTCCAATGCGTAGGCAGTGCTTCTGATTGGTTGAATCAAATTTCCCACGCGGCACGACCAATTAGAAGCACTACCCAGATCTGGGTAGTGACGCGTCATCAGTATGGAATTTCTGCGCTCGTTTCTCAGACGTCATTTAGCGGGGAAACCAGTGGTAGTGCTTTCTCAGGCTATACGTGCTCAGGAACATGATGAGTACATAATTATTACTATTCAAAACAGGGGTCATTTCCTGCATTGTTATAGTAGTAATGCAGATTGATAAAAAAAAAAAAAAAGGAACAGGGGGTAAACGCGTTTCTAAGGCGTTTCCCAACTCACTGTTACTCTAAACTACTACGCGTGACAAGTGTTTTAGGGTACCTACCTTCACTTTTCAAAAAGTTCTTTCGGTAAGCTTTGTACTCTTCTTCACTGATGGTCAGCGTTAATTCCACTGAGTCAAGGCCCAATTGTTGTAGAATGTCCTCTGTCACAAGGTACCTCTGTGCCACTTCTTTTAGATGGCCCGTGCGATAATCTTCCCAGAGTTCATCAAGAATACGTAGTGAGCTACACCGAACTGTGATTATCAAGCTTCCAATCTTGTTATCAACAATTAGTAGTTGGCGAATGTCTCTCAAATACCGATGAAAACATTTTAACCCATCTGGATTTGAGGGGTTGAAGGTTTCAAAAGATCCAGCTGCAATACGATTCAAAACTTGTTGTGTAGAAGGATATGCTCCTTGTTCTCTGGCGGCACAATCGATCTGGATGTCAAGTCTTTCTGCTGAAAACATACAAAAAAAATATTTCACAAGTGTTGGTTGTTCTTATTGTGGTCATAATTAGAAGCAGAGCAAATTGGCAGAAATTAGATCTAAGGAAAGTGACTAACAAGATTATCTAAAACGGGTACAGCTTCTTCACATAAATAAATTTAGGTTCAGTCCACTGAGCATCGCATTTGTCTGGTTTACAAGATAAAGCATTTTATCTGTCTTATGGCATCAGAGATAAAATATATATACTTTCAAACCTTCTAGAGTTCTAGTGCGTCAAAGAAACAAAATCCATCTCAAAATTACAGGAGATGGGTCCAACGATTGACGAGAAAGAAGGATAAAAAATTCAGTGAGGACAAAAAGGACAAGAAATTCTTGAGAGTGATTCTGCGTTATTGATCGGCAAAGAAGTCTGAGAGACTAAAGAGGCTGTCTCAGCAAAAACCGCCCACTCAATTTCGCGTGAAAAATAATTTCGCCTGAAACTCTGGCAAGTTAAAGGCTTTATCGAGGCTATAACTTTGATTCACAATAATTTCCTGGCCGCGCTGGGGGGCGCTGAGTATTTTGTCCCGCCACGGCCAATTTGCACATCTTGAAAACTGAAAATTAGGCATTTTTTGCGGCGCTGTAAAATGTTTGGTTTGCACCATCTCCCAATAAATGTTATGTCTACTTTTAGGTAAACACCTCCAGTTTTTCGTGAAAGTAATAGTTAATTTAGCTAAAAAGACGAAATGAAGCAAAATACGACCCCAAGTATATTGCCTTGGAGGGAAATTACCTTTGGGACCTAGCTGAAAGCTCTAGACCAAACAGATGAAAAGACGGATCATCCGTTATTAAGAATATTCAAAAACTCATGTACGATTACATTATTTTAAAAGTTATGATTTGCTCGTTGGGGTACCAAAGAGATAGGTTCCTTATTATACCTTCATCATACATCTCTAATCTCAGAGATTATCGATAGTTACAATTACTAAATTACCATCTTTACGCGAATGATACACAGCTCTACCTGACCTTCAAAACTGACGACATAAATGCGGACATTGAAAGCATTGTTAGCTATATGGCCGAAATAAGTAGTTAGATGGGACAGAATGAGTTAAAGCTTAATTTAGCTTAACTTGACTGATATGTTGGTTATTTACTCCTGGTTTCGTACCGCGGTATCTTCTCTTGACTGAGAGCATGTAATTTGGTTAGGAACGAATTTCCGTATCCAAAAAAGTCACCAGCCTTTATGTTATTGGTGTCATCTTTGACAAGCATATGACGTTTGATGAAGAAATAGATCGAGGTTTTGGGTCTTCAATCCGCCATGTAAGGAATATATTCAGAATTCGCGAATATCTAGATGAAAATTCTGCCTCGAAGGCTGTACATCCAATTAAAACTTAGTCTGCTACACAGCCGTTTTTTAGTGTCGTCACGCAACGCTCCTCCCCACTAACGGCTGCTGAAAACCGAACTACATTCCTTTCCCGTGATTAGCCAATTATAATTCAGCTCCCATTTTCTGGAAAGTGTTCGCGCCACGTTTGCGGTACTGTGACTCCTCCAATCACAGCTTTGCTTTTATCGGTGCCCCATGTGTGAATGACAGAATAATCAAAACGTCGCGTGAAAACAAGCATTTAACTAGAGTAGTGTTGTCGCAGTCGAGTCCTATTTAAAATTTAGGAGATAAGCACCAGCAGCAAGCAAGTCGAGCAAATTGCGATGCACAACGTGGATGTGCTCATAAAGTTGCCAGGTATAGTTCGGGAAATCGCTCATCGATAATTTAAAAGATTGCTTTTAGAATCAGTACCCTTGAGAGTTTAGTATTCACAGGAACACAATGAGCACATCCGGCACATTTAAATTCTTCAACACATATCAGTACATATGCACGTTAAATGAAGAACCAACCGATCCTGGTAAAAGTCTTCTAGGCCTATCAAACATTTCTTTCACTTGGAACTTTCTTGACCGCTTAAAACAAACTTTTTTGCAAATTAACCTTTTCGTTGCTTGAAAACACAGAGCCCGTCTAAATTCAGCGACGATTGATTGATTTGTCGAAAACTGAGAGACGTGCTCGCTTCCTAGCGCCCCGCGGCTCACGTATTGTCAAACTTCTTGTGCATGATTGGCTTGTTCGTTAGACCACAAACACAAAGGGAAAGGAATGTAGTTCGGTTTTCTGCAGCCGTTTGTGGGGAGGAGCATTGCGTGACCACACTCAAAACGGCTGTGTAGCAGACTAATTAAAACTAGGAGACTGGATTATTGCGACCATATGTATTTTGGAATGCCCAAGCAAAAGTTAATTTCGGCACACCACTGCTAGTTTTGTCACTGTTAAGAAGAAATATGAGCACATCACCCCCCACAATATTAGAAACATAGGCACGTTAAACGTGCATGAGCTATTTTGAATACTTCGGTGTAACCTTACCAAGAACGATGAATCTACCTTTTTCATCCTAAATGTAGATTTGGTTTTTGTGCGAAATTGGGTATTGCGCTACATAAATGAAAACGCGAAACGCTCAGCTGAGTCGATCCTCAACCTATATATTCACTTTCCTCTGTCTTTCCCTGTTACATCTGGTGCAAGTTGGACAAATTGTTAAAGTAAAATAAATTTCTACCCACCAAACGTTGATTAGAAGGAAAACTCTAAGGTTTCCTCTGAGTTTCTTAAGCCAAAATGTGACTCATCGAATACTGAATAGTTACGAAATACCAGGATTTTTATCATTGTGGTAGATGGTTGCATCATCATAATTCACGAGGTTTTCACGTGCGATTCTACTCAGTGAAACAGTCTTTAACTCCGACAACTTATTTCTTCATGTTTTAAAAGCTATTGCTTCTTAAAAGACGAGAGCCTTTTTTAGGCATTGGTTACAAAACGAAATAGGTCTTCATACGTCCAAGTTACTATTTATCATTGTGAAAAGCCAATCTGCATGAGATGTACAGTCACACAGCTGGCACGTGAAAGTGTTGGACTTTGCCCCCTTTCGTGGTTCGTACGTGAGGGAATTAGAGTTATCACACAGTAATCTAGTAAACAGAATTATAAAAATAACTCATGCACACAATCTGCATGTGAAGATGTTGGTCTTTGGCCCTTTTACAATTCGTAGGTTAAAAAAAAGGCAAATTGTTTTACTAAAAAATTTTCTCAAGCGATTTTCAGAAATCACCTCGGCTTTATTACAACATCTGCAGTTAAATTATGTTTCATGCAACGTCAAGGTTGATAGCCTAACATTTATTAACTTCCAAGAAAATTATCAAACTGCCGAAATATATTTCTACTTGTATCATGTTACTCCACTCAATACAACAGTATCTAATTATTGTGTCAACTAGCTTCTTCCAATTTTATTCCCTAACGCTACTGTTTTAACTTAAGTTACGCGTCTTCACTAAATAAAATACGTTTCAGAAACTATAATACTTAGTGTGCAGGAAGGATGTATCATGTTGTTCACTTATTATTCTTTTTTTTTGTTTTGCCAGAAGGAAAAAGGTCTGTTGAACTTTGTAAGCGAGAGAATAATATTTTTAAAGCTTGTTTACAGGATTAACAATACTCGGTACAGCTTTCACCAAAATAAGCTGCCTTTTTAAACTTCTAAAACCACATTTTATAGGGCGCATACTTTCGAATTAAAGTCTATATCTAAATATCAATTATTGCTTCACTGGAAGAGCTTTGAAAATATATGATCTTTAATACTCTACCCAGTTGTAGCAGGTGAAATAGAACTCATGCTGACGTGCGTTGTACTGATTGCCGAATTAGGTCAGAAATGCCTTGAAGCAGCATCCATACTAAAATATGAACCCTTAAACAGCTGCATCACTGTACACAGCGTTTGAATCATGAAGATATTTAATGTAATTCTTCCAAACACCTGTAGCCGTAATAAAAGACGAAAAAATTGTGAAGAATCAAGATGGCGGTCTCAAAGTGCCCTTGTTCGACCTTTACCAATGCCATGTTTAAATAGATGCCAAGATCTCATTGGTTCCTAAGCATCAACTCATAGTACCTTCAACCTTATTGGCTCTTGCAACAAACATCCCAAGATACAAAGCCACAAAGATACATACGCTCACACCACTGACATATGAGCTATTTTTTCAAAATAGCTCAACAAAACTCCATTGGTTGCTGGCCTCGTATCGGATTGTGTTTAAGCTTCTTTTTTTTACGCATGAAGCTCTTATAAAATTGGTTTCTGCCCTAAATATCTGGCGGATCCGCTTTTGCACCATCAGAAATCGATAAGGACCTTACGCTGAAACTCTTAAGACTTACTAATGCAACCTAGAACTAAAACCTATGGGAACAGGGCTTTGCTGTGTGGGCACCGAAGATTTGGAACTCTTTTCCTTCTAATATACGACATTCCTGCACACTCCACGGTTTGCTTGTTTCATTTCTCAAACGTATTAGGCATTTTCTCCCTCTCGAGATCCAACTCACGACACCCAGGACAATTCTTTAGTGACAGTCCAATTTTGATTACTTTTCCGTGGTATGAGCTATCTGTTCTTAGGGCCTGTTTACATGGAGGTGGGCGACCCCAGGTAGATGAGGTAACCCGCTTAGGTGGGGTAACCCGCCTGTCCATGTAATCTCTCATTTTAATTTGATCACGTTTACATGGTAGGTGGGGTGACCCGCCACATGTTACCTCACCCATCTGGGGTCTCCCACGTCCATGTAACCCGGCCCTAAGAGCCTTTCTTCAAAATCGCAGAATCACTGATGCAGCACGCGTTTTAACTTTTTCTAATAATTAGAAAAATAATTAATTTTTCTAATAATTAGAAAAAGTTAAAACGCGTGATTCTGCATTTTTGTTTTAATTATTATTATCGCACTACTGACTGTTTCAGAAGTTAAATTAGGTGAAACTTGACTACCAGCGCTTGGTCAGTAAAGAAATTTTGATGTACTGTCTAATGTTGTGAATGAAGCGGTTACTGCATATCTGAGTTTGGCGTTTTGTACGTCTTCCTGCTTCTCTAACTTACCACTTAAGACAGAGTGACCATGGGCTTGCCCTTCCTCAGCCACGCACTGATTATCGCTAAAGCAGTCTTTCCTACAGTCGACCGGTGCTGTGGGACAGCTTTCCCCTGGAGATCAGAAAAACGCCATCAATGACTTGATGAATTCAAATCTAAGTTAAAACTTTCAAAGTTAGCAGTGATGCTTCATGATTTTTTTAACTACGTTTTATACACAGCTTCCTTGTAAAGTAGACTTTCTTACTGTTTCTTTATTCTTGTATTTAACGTAATAAGTTGACTTAGTAATTACATATTTTTGTAATATATAGAGTTATAGATTTGGTCCATCGTGAAATGTTCGTGTGAACACGTTCTGCGATCTATAGGCTGAGGGTTTTTACGTGACTTTCATTAATTTGCCTTTCTCTGTTTTGCAAGCTTCCAATCAAGAAAGCATGAAACTCGGGGTCGGCCAACAGCGTAATGTTTTGGTCAAGCTTAAATGACTCAAGCTGTGAAGGGTAATGGTTTAGAAAACTATAATTTTGCTTTTCAACTGCTTATCAAACAAATGATTAATTCTTATCTTTGTGAAAACGAAGCGCGCATTATACACCCTAGCGTTAACAAAGGGCAGCAAACGCACGCTTTACCTTCATCTTTCGACAGCCTTGGGTGCTTTCGATCTGGGACACCACTTGGAGGTAATGATGACCTTTTACCTTTTTTCGCAGGTTGAACTCCCTCTGATGAGCCTGAAATTTTATCATTTCATTTCGTTCAATTTTTTTCCATTGAGTAAACTACGTTTTTTACAATAACTGACCGATTTTTTCTCCCACGCTGATTGGTCGAGAGCTATGGACCATGGAAATAACAGGATAGTTGGCCAATTTGTTTGCCTTTTTTCTCTCGAGGAACGTCGATAATAGATACAATTATTATTCATTCAAAATATTTCTCCGTTTCTGATTGGCTAAAATCTCACGCATAATTCATCATAACCAGCTACTGTCGACCAAATTTGGAAGAATTTTGCGATACGTGAACTGATGACGTCAATCGTGCAGCAAAATATTGCCAGATTACTGAACGGATTATTGAAAACCTAGGGACGAGGTTAAGTTGTTTTGCTAGTGAATACAAAATGGCGGAACCGTCATTTCACTCGTTTCACGAGGAAGAAATAGGCGAACCACTGGCTAAACAAAAAAGCAAGAACAGCAAGAAGACAACTCGACGGATGACATCTGCTATTTGGAGAATATTTGCACACCTGAACAACCCATTATCTCGTAAATTTGCCGATAAACATGCACTATCGAAAATGAACTTCACATCGATGGAGGTAAGAATGTTTTAGCTTGTCTTTAACCTATTCGAAAATATACTTTAAGCGACACGAACCTTCATGTCCAACGAAATTTAAAATCAGTTGATAAGCCAATCAAAAACGAAGATAATACTTTGTTTTGATGCACGAAATAAGCCAACAGACAAAGTTTAAAATGTCCCCAGATATAACTGTGAGTATGGCCGCAGGTTTCTTATCACTGCGTCTTCTTACTACAACAAACTCACTTGTGTCTCCCGCAGTTCTATTAATTAAATACATGTGTATGAAAACACAGAGACCTCACTTAAGACAGTGTGATCTCTAGCCTGTCCAAGCGCCTGCGCACGCTAAGTGATCTCTTTACCTCGAGAGATGTTGCACATTATTTCAATCAGTCTTTTACAGTGATCCTGCCAGTTGTACACTTTTGCATAGATTTCACATAGGATTTTAGATTCATCAAGACGGAATTTCCTTTTTTTTTTACGGGCACCTCTGATAGCATTGGCCCAGTCTTTAGGATCTTCTGACTCCACTACACAGTATGGACCAAACGGAACTTCCTGTAAAGCCTCGCCAAGACCAGAGTTCCCACTGACCAGCACAGGCAGACCAGCAGATAAAGCCTCTAGGGCGGCTAGCCCAAATCCCTCAGTTCGTGATGGCATTATGGCAAGATCTACTTCACAAAACAACCGGGCTAACTGCTCTCTGCTCTCATTGAAACAACGTACAGTTAGTTGACTGCGATCAATGCCTTGCTCGAGTAACAAATCTTTTACATTCTCCTCTTTGCCACTTGGAGCTCCAACAAACAAGAGTTTATATGGTTCTGTCTCGTCTTTCAACTGGGCAATAGCGAGAGCAGCGATGTCATATCCTTTCAGCTGAAAGTCTTCATTGTCACCACGCCCAAACACTAAGACACTGAATGTTTTTCTCTCTTCAGTGGCTTGCTTTACATTGGCAAATTCTGAGAAGATGCCTGGGGTAAGATTAAGAACATCTTGATCCTTTCCACAGGCACGGAGATAACCTGAGAAAGCTTCAGCCAGCTTGGGTCCAACAGCTACAACTTGATCAGCTTTTTCACAGAGTTTTACCTCATCCTGGTGCTTTTTCTCACCTTTCCAAATGGCAGCTGCATAGGACTTGTACATTCCAAGCTCTTCAGGAGCTGTATGAACGACCTGAATCCACTTGCACTTACACTGACGTTTTATACACTGCACTTGCCGACCAAGAGCAGTCCCATGTCCTATCACACAATCCACAGAATGGCTTTCAGGAAGAAAGGACAACCAGTCAACAGGGTCATAACCTGGCATTTCTTCTGCTTTAATAAGCTGTACATTGTGACTTGCAGCAACTCGTTTATCCTCTTCGCTGCACTGAGGGAGATAAACACTGACCTCCACGCTGGGGTGTTTTGCCAACTGAATGGCCAGCTCTCGGTTGATGGTTGACAGGCCTCCTATTGTTGATCTCCATTCACTGCTTAACAGAGTTACTCTCAATTTCTTGTATGAAGCGGATCCTGAATTGTTTTCATGATCTTCCCGTGATGCAGAGGCTGTGCTAGGAAAGGATGACAATTCCTAAAAGAAGAGTGGCATGAATTTATTAAAGGGTTTATTAAAAAAGCTAACCTGAGATCAGGCTCAATTTTAGCAGTTCTCATATATTCTCTCTTACGTAGTCCCGCTAAAATTTCTCTTTTCGTTTCGCCTTGCCCGTCGGAATGTTATTTACAAAGAGAAACGAGAAGAGAGCCTGATCTCAGGTTATTAAAAAGCGCTTTTAATAGTAAGTTCTTGCAAACTTTAATTAAGCATTGTCTTCCACTGCTTTTCTGTCAGTGAGTGCACTTGAAAAAATTGACTAGAAAAACATGCAGGAATGTTTTTTAGTTTGGGCTACCTCTGGTGTCTCAAGTATATGTATATCTCTATGTATACCATAAATCCTCTATTAACCCCCCGCCCCCTGCCGAATAAGCCCCCACCCCTCTTTTCAGGGGAAGAAAGTTATTAAGCCCGCGCTCTCCACTCCCCTCCCCCTTTATTCTTAAATAATAGACTGTATTAATTAATTATGTACTGTAACAGTTCACGTGGACTGGCCCAGTATGATTTATTCATGTGGTTGAAAGGGATGGGGACAGAGACAACTTGTAGGGTGAAAGGTCAAAGATGACGCATGTTACTACTAAGAGTGTCTCAACAGCACAGTACATCTGTACCACACTAAGAGGTGTGGACTACATGTATGTAAACTGCCCATTTAATGATATGCAATTAATAAAATGATCACTTAGGGAAAAATGCTTTGATCGTTAATTAAATTCTCTTAAGTACATGCAATTCTTTTAACCCTTTAAACCCTAATATCAACATTCAAATTCTCATTTGTTGTCCCTATTTGTTTTCAATAGAAGTAGTGGGGAGAATTTGTTGAAGTATCAATTAGATTCATCTAGTGTGATCAGGTCCCGGGGGGGGGACTCCCATATGAAACAGACGGGGATGCTCGTCGTCTCGCTTAGGGGTGTAAATTTTGGATTTTGGTCTCGCTTAGGGTGTTCCGGGCAAAGCGCCAATATTTTAAGCCGCCAAGGACTCGTTTAGGGTTCCGCGAAGAACTTGAGATTTAGGACAATGCTTTTAAAAACTACTTTTAGATAAAAGCATGTCTTTATATCATTAAAACTCACTGCATGTCGTATTTGAGTGTTTTTGTGCGGTCTCTTTTAGGGGTCAAAATTTGCTTAAGCCACGCCCAGTTTGGGCTACTTTAGGGGTCACAAAAAGCTTGAGCCACGCCCAGATGGTCTCCTTTAGGGGTTAAATTCAAAATTTCCGACGAGCATCCCCGTCTGTTTCATATGGGAGTTCCCTCCCCGGGGATCAGGTCCTCAATTCTCATGATCACTGTGTTTTATAAAAAAGTGATACTACAAGGAGAAATTTGATGCTGATCAATCTTAGGGCTTAAGGGGTTAAGGAAATATATTTTCCACTGTTATTTTAGCTTCACATTCTTTGTTACAGTTTGTCGCCTTTTGGTGTCGCAGTGCGTTTATCGTAGCTTCCGATTGGTTCGTTTTACCTATTTAAGATGCTGTTTTCAGTTTGTTCTCTCTCTCTCGCTTGCGACCTTAGCACTTTAGAGCTGTTTACTGCTTCGGGCGTTTTGATCTGCCCCACCCACCCTCCCTTTTCTCAGGTTTCTACGGGTGTTTTTCCATTTTATCTGCTTTTGATACTGCTTTTATTTCATCTGTTTTCAGGCGGTAGAGATGCTTACGTGGACCGCGCGAGGTGCTTTAAATGTCACAAACTCGGCCACTGGGCAAGAGAATGCACTGCCTCCTGGGATAGCCCACGAAGTGCTTATCGCGGAACCACATTCACCCCAGGATACTCGTACAGCCCCTAAAGACACAGTCACGGAGTCCACACTCAACCCGGTGCAAAGCAGTAATGTTTTTGATGAGTAGGTTGCTGATATCGCTCAGTTACATTGCGATAGCGAATTGTTTGATTTTGAGTTAAGTACTAGTCCGCCGTGTGTCAACGTCAAGGGAAATCTTCGTAGAAACTTCGAATTTTGGAAGCATATTGGAACCCCTAGTTTTATTCTTAACGTTATAGAAAGGGGCTATTTGTTACCTTGCGTTAGTTTTCCGGACCCAGCGGTTTTCAAGGAGGCTATTCAAGTTTAGTTGAGTCGGGTCGTGTTGTGGAAACCAATGTACCGCCCCGGGTGGTCAACCCCTTGTCCGTATCTGTCCAAGCTAATGGAAAGAAGAGGCTCATTCTTGATTTAAGATATGTCAACAAGTTTCTTCGTAAGTTGCATGTTAAATACGAAGACTGGAAAACAGCTATGTATTACTTCTCGCGTGGTGTATATGTTTTTCCTTCGACCTGAAAAGTGGGTACCACCACGTTGAAATTTTTGAGGGCCATCAAACTTATCTTGGTTTTTCCTGGAAGCATTCTAATTCCAATCAAGTGAAGTTTTATGTGTTTACAGTTTAACCTTTCGGATTATCGTTCGCCCCTCACGTGTTCACAAAAATTCTTAAGCCTCTTGAGGCATTTGCGTTGCTGTTTTTCTTGACGACGGATGGGGTATTGAAAATTGGATTCTCAAGTGTGCAGTATTGTTGCGGATGCCGTTAGAACTGACCTTTTTATGGCGGGTTTCGTTACTAACGAGGATAAGTCAGTGTGGATACCTTGCCAGAGGCTTGATTGGTTGGGTATCACTTGGGATAGCGCTCGTGGAACCATTGAAATTGTGGATAGGAGGGTTGCCAAAATAACTAGTACCATTGAAAGTATAATCGACTCCGATTTTGTTCTTTCTGCCAGAAGATTGGCCTCTTTTACAGCAGATAATTTATACAGCGCCTGTTTCCGGGAACATTTCTAGGATCATGACTAGGCACTGCATTATGTCTACATTAAGCGCGCAGCACTGGGACTCGAAAGTTAAGATGGTTCCCTATTGCATTGAGGAGCTATATTTTTGGAAAAACAACCTAAATTCCATCAAAGTGCGCTATTGGCTTTCTCTTTAATAAGCCACTGCAGTGTTTCGCTTACTCCGATGCCAGCGCTACAGGGTGAGGTTCAGTTATTACCCTTTATGAGGATTGTATGTATCACAAGCTTTGGGAGCCTTCAGAATGTTCTAAGAGCTCTACTTGGAGAGAACTTGCGGCCATTGATTTTTCTCTAGAGTCTTTTGCGCCAATCACTTGTCAAGTGGTTCACTGATAGCCAGTCGGCGGCTAGAATTATAGAAGTCGGAAGCATGAAATTGGATTTGCACAGGCTTGCTATTAAAATTTTTCAGTTTTGCGCGGAGCAGCTCTATTCATTTGGAGGTGCAGTGGATCTCACGAACTGAAAATGAGAAGGCCGATTATATCAGTCGCCTTATAGACTTTGATGATTGGCAAATCACGCATGATCTTTTTCTAAGTTTGGAAGAGTTATGGGGCCCGCATACAGTTGACTGTTTTGCCAGTTATTATACAGCTAAGCTTCCTCGCTAGATTCTTTTCGCGTTTCTGGAATCCGGGTGCGTCAGGAATTGACTTCTTTGCCCAAGAGTTAAGTTCCGAGAATTGTTTAGTGGTTTCTCCAGTTTCTCTTGTTGCTCGCGTTATCCATTATCTGAGCCTACAGAAAGCGATGGCTACTCTTGTAGTCCCATTATGGCTTTCGTCCAGTTTTTGGCCTCTTCTGACGAGCAAATATCAGTCGTTCATTAAAGGATACTTCACGCTGAATGCATCCCAAGCTCTCACCCTGGGAAGAAATTTAAGTTCATTCCTTGGTTCTCCTCGTTTTACAGGCGAGGTTCTCGCGCTTAGATTCGAATTTTTGTGTGCCCTTGGAGTAGGTCACTCTGAACTAGCTTTTAGTGCTGGTATTTGCAGGATTTGATCTGACACTGGTCATTAGTAGCATGGACAGCTGTGTCCAGGGAAAATGACACTGGTCATGTGAAGCGACGACTGCGTCCGTTAGAGAAGATTTATGTCGTTTTAGATTTTTGTTAGTAGAACGAGGTTTCGAGTTCTCTCGAGAATGGGAGACCTGTTCACGTATGAAAAATTGTGTCCTTTTTTGACACTGGTTCGCGAATCGTAACTCAACCTGCCATTCTGGCCAAGGTTTTTCACAAGGTTGAACTGCGTTGTTCTTGTTGGTTTAGGTTATTTACCCTCTTAATCAAGGCTGTAACTTTGTTTTTGCTGCTTGTTAGGTTATTTAAGTGTCCGAGTTGACTGTGTCCTAGACAGGGTGTTTCCTACTTTATATTCGTTTGCCTGTAGTTTATGGGGCCTTTTGGGGGATTTAAATGATCTACTAGAGCAAGTCGCGTTTAGGGTATATATGTAGTTATTACTCGTTTGTTATTAAGTTTTCTTTGTAGGTTATTCGCTAGCCCTTTGTTTAGGAGCTACTTTGCATGCCTATTTTGCCCCGGGGAGGTCGGTGTAGTTTCTTTCTATTATGCTGCCTGCAGACATTGCGTCATAGGCATAGGGCCGTTTATTAGAATCGCTGTCATCGCTTGCGTCACATTTCCTAGAGCCGCTATCCTGTTGTTGCAAAATTGTGATATTATTTTTTCTCGCAGGTCGTAGTTGCAAGTAACGCATGGATGGTGCTCCCTCCTACTATTAGGCCGGATTTCAATTCGTTATTTAAATGTTTACTTAGTTCTAGGGCGGATTCTTCTGTGAAGAAATATCTTAAGGAAATAAACAAGTTTTTACTGTGGTGTAGGACGCGGAAAATTGCGCTACAGTTGCCATTTTCTTCTTCTGTTGCCCTTTATCTATTTGGCTTAGATCAACAGCTTAGGTCTCCAGCCGCAATGGTTTTGGTCCATGCTGCGCTGAAATGGTTCCATTCCTTTGTTCCTGATGATGGTCCCAATCCTTTGGATAACGCTTGTTGCAAGAACTTGAGTGCGCCAAGAGGACAAGGAGCAATCCAGTTCACAAGAAAAAGCCCGTGGACCCTGCTATCATTAGAAGCATTATTGACAGACGTGGCGCTGAGGAAGCATCTTTAAAGGACTTACGTATTGCCGCAATAAGTTCTTTAGGTTTTGCAGGATTTTTTCGTTTTAACGAGTTGGCTAATATTCAGCCAAAACACCTCACGTTGTTAAACATTTTGTGCCAAGGAGTAAAACGGATGTATATAGTGAGGGCAATTATGTTTATGTCGCTAAGTTAGAGAACAAATACTGCCCAGTATCTATCTTACGTAGGTATATTGAAGCACCCAATTTGGATCTACAGTGGATCTGTCTAGTCATTTGCCTTTATTCAGGCCATTAACGAAGATTAAGTCGGGTTATACTCTTAGGAATGGCAAGTTATCCTATGCTCGCTGCAGGGAAATATTTAAGACTACTTTGAAAGACTTGGGCCATGACCCCAAGGAATATGGCCCACATAGTCTGCGTTCAGGGGGTGCTATAGCTGTTATCAGTGATGACGCTTTCAAAGCCGTTTCTGAGAGGTTGTTTAAACTTCATGGGCGCTGGAAAACAGACGAAACGAAAGACATGTACGTTTTAGAGACAGAATGTAATCGTTTAAGTGTGCCGAAATATTTAGGTATTTAGCTCATATTTAAATATGTTATCTGTTTTTCCTTTACCAATGCTGTAAGATTCCTTTTTATTAAAGTGTTAGGGTTCGCACGCGATCCACCCATATCTGACTTCGCCTGGTTTTTGCGGTTATTTAAGCGGTAAATAATTTACGTTCGTTTGAGCGAAGCGAATTAGAACGTAATGCATTGAGATCAGTCTGGAGAATTTGTATGTGGATACTGGTGCTTAAAGGGTTGAAACAAGCCATTGAAGCCCACACAACAACAGTTTATCTTCATTTGAGTACCATGAATTACCAAAAACTATTCCCAGCCCAACTCCCCCCACCCCACCCTGGATGGGATACTAGTTCACCACAGCATTGCTCGCAATGGTATGTGGCCAGTTTTAAAAAAAAAATAAACAAAATTAAAGAGCTGTGAGGGAAGGGGTAAAGTGAAAAATACTTTCCTGACTAAGATCAAAGTGGCTGTGAGCCACAAAACTCAGAAAAATTTATGTTGATAGTAAAATCTATATTAGACATTGTTACATATTTAATGAGTCGAATAATGTTACCTTTTTACCAGATATTTTAGAATTTAAAGCTCATAAAGAAATACTATATTTCAATATTTTTCTTTACAGTTTTTTTCGCTTACGTCTATGCTATCCCTCTGATGGAATAATTATAATGTTGAAAAAAACAACCGGTATGTATTTTTCTGTAATTCCCGATAATGCACATGATCTTTTGAGATCATGACACTATAGTCATTCTCTTGTGTTTTACGAAATAATTTTTTGAAATCATAGATCACGTTTCATCTTTTGCATGTTACTGATCATGCCTGTTGAATAGTAAAAGCGGAAACGCAAAAAGACAGAAAAAAATACTCAGAATACATTTATAGTTGTATTAATATTTTCTGTCTTATAAAATTTGTGCTTGCAGGTAATGTACCAAAGGAATGTTTAATTACGCACTATTAGAATCATTAAGAATTTACTTTGCTTAATAACTAATATTTAGCACATTTAACCTCATCGCTAATGAAGAGCTTGGGCAAGCAAGAGCACAAGGAGCCCTGCAGTTGTATTCCCTGATAGCCATCCAGTAGGTCACTTGCTGAAGTGTGAGAAGCCCGATGGCCAACTCACTCAAGTTGAAGTATTGCTTTTGAACGATATTGTAGTGAAATAATTGATCTTTAGCATGAAAACTTTAAATGGTTGACAAGTACGTTTGCGCATATTTTTGAAACACTGCCCTGAAAAATGGGTAAACAGTAGATCTCAAACACACGTATAACAGAAATAAGTTATGATATCTTGACGATATGTTGTCATTAACAATAAAATTGCATTGCAATTGTTTCTTTGCCTCCGTATATGGAAAATGGTTCCCTTCGGAGTTAACAGATGGACACAAGCACTTGGGGCGGGGGGGACTTCCATATTTGCCTCACTCGGTATGTGCCGCTCTGCATGGTAGAGGTTTATGGGATCTTCAATCTCCAGAAATGTATTCAATTTAACTATTAAGCGCAGTGCTTGAACTTAACGGTTGTCCACTTGTCCAAAACGAGTAAAAAATTCTGGAAACAAGTAGTTTTCTTCCCTTTATATAGACAGTCTGTAGTCCTGATCTGGAGGAGTAAAGTTATCACTCTCTGAGCTAAGCCTTGAAACCAAAAAAAAGAATTGCCAAAGGCAAATGTTTCAAAAAGTGCTAAACATTCTCTTGCCGAATAAAGGTCTGGGTTCTATTTGAAACAAAATGCACTACATGTGGCATACAAGATGTTGGCTTTTGTAATTTCATTTAGAAGGTCATTACGTATTTTTCTTTGGTGAATTAAAACATGAGCCAAAGTATGTCGAAACGGAAAAAAGTGCAAGGCTCACTGTACTCTTTCTTTGGAGGAAAGTTATTATCAGATGATAAAGATATTAACACAGAATCTGAAACACCTGCTCCGACCAGGAGGCATGGAAGGATAAATACAAATGGCTGAGGTTTGACGCGAAAACAAAATGTTCTGTTTTGTGGAGAATTCCCGAAACGAAAAACGTGAAATACTCCCTTAGGATCTGAACAAAAAAATTTTAAAATGATAAAAGTGATCAGTAGTTTTGCTGATGGACCACTAAATTTTAATCCTACCAGTCCTGCAGAAGAAGACCGGACCCAAAAGTTAATTTCAGCACTGAAGCGTCTTAAACAGGGTTGCAATTTGAATGCATTTTGCCTTTAAACAGGGTCAGACTCAAAGGGTTTTAGCAGCACAGACCCAACCAAACCTCTATTAAATCTTCTCCCCCGCCCAGAAAAGTTTCTTCCCTAAAATAAATGGTTTTTATACGAGTTAATTAAATCAAGAGATGGAACAGTGGGGGCTCAAATCAGACCTCCACTGATCCAGAGTCTGACATATGATTAACATTCCTCCACCAACATTCAGAACCACAACTAGAACTTCTAAACCTCACACCTGACAACTTGTAAGACACCAAGAAAAATCGACCTTCACTTGACCTACACTATAGCTAACAGATAATGAATTTTTCTCACCTCCATCAGCCTGGACATCACAGGAATCCTAAAAATCCTTTAACACTGCAGACATGAACACTAAAACAGGAACAGAGAAAGAAAGTATATATCATAAATACACATATACTAAATAAAAGTGCAATGTTGTCAAGTACCATTTAACACTTTCCTTTTGTGGAAGTTTAATTTTTGTAATAAAATTTGTAGATTGGTGATTTTTTGTAATTTGCAATAACTAATTTTTGGGATTATTCCAGTCTGGTTTTTCTCCTTCTGAATCTGCATTATATTTTTTATTTGAGTCAAAATACAGGTAAAATATAACCAACATTTGAAAATGTCATGGGTATACTAAAATCTGTTCTCAAGGTAATTAACCAGAATTTCATTGTCTCCTTAGTCACACTGCTATGATTAATACAGGCCAAGAAAGAAAGGAAATTCTGAACCAAACTAGGTTTAAAATAATATTATAGCCCTGGTCCCAGATGAATTTCTATCCAGCGATATAGAAATTTTTGTGGTCAGGTTTACTTCTTACAGCTGTATGTGGATCTGGATGGAAACCACAAAAAGTTCAAAACCCACCAAAATAAATTAGAAACAAGGCCAGGTAAGATATGAATAAAGTAGATAGTGATAAGTGCCGGCACTTTCAGGGTAACTTTGCATTACAAATACATATAAACAATCTAATTCTTTTTAAAGGTGTATTTTTCAAAAGAATAACCTCTTTCTATATATCCCAACTTTTTATTAGCATTAATGCTTTTTTTGAAAGAGTATTTATCCCATGGGTATGCTGACAGAAGAATGGGAGTCCTGGACTCCTCTGACTGGAGGATAATGACGTGTACATTCCCCAGGGGGGGAGGGTAGACATCCCTCATTTAGGGTTTGGGGCTTGGGGGTCTTAAGTCTTAAACAGGTTATACAATTTCACTATTTAGCATCTTGAACAGGGTGTCTTTCATTGAACTTAATGAGCTCTAAACAGGGTGTGAATATTCAGTGATCCACAGTCTACAAGTGTGATTACATTATTATTTTAATCTAATCCCATGGTGCCAGTTTAAGGAAATGGATCAGGTTCATGAAATGAGTTTCCTTATCTTAAACAGGGAAGTGAAGAGAACGTTTTTTTGTTTAAATAGGATGAAGGTTTGAAAGCCTTTTGGCATTAAACCCCTACCCAAACTTCCCTTCACATCCTTCCTTGAGTTACTTCAATTGACCACTCCAGAAAATACCATAACATGCTATAATGCTCTTTGTTTGTCACCCCAATTTTTGCATAAGCATTGTTTTCAGTTTCTCTTGGGGGCATTTTAACTCCCAAGAGAAACCGAAGACAATGCTTATGCCAAATTTTGGAGTGACAAACAAAGAGTATTATGGTATGTTATGGTATTTCTGGAGTGGTCAATTCTATGATGGTTGGTAGCTTCACGCTTGTATCATCTATAGGACTTTGATATTCACATTGCCACATTTTGGGCAATTACTGTATTTCCTCGAATAAACTCATGCTCCAATAAACCGCCTCCCCCAACAAGATGCCCACCTCATACGCCATGCATGTATATATGTAATATCAAACAAGTGCCTCTTGTGAATAAGCTCTCCCTCCCCCCAGGGCTGGGGATACTCTGGATTTCAAGTGATGGGGATGATCGAATGGGGGCAAAAATCCAAACCCAAAGAAATCCCTAGGGCTTCCAACAAAACCCCCCAAAAAATCCCTGGACCAAAAATAAACCCCCCAAAAATCCCATGCCGCATTTCTAAGCCTTAAAAATTTGCAGAAGGCTTTAAACGATATAACATGAAAAATATGAACAACAGTTGAATGTTTGTGTTTGTTTATAATTCATCATACCATCTGAATCTACAGAATGTTTTGAATACCCCCAAAAATTCCCTACTCAAAGCACCCCCAAAAAATGCTTGCCAAATTTTTCTACCCCCAAAATTCCAGTCAGTCTAAAATATCAAACCCAAAAAATCCTTCAATCATTCCCATCACTTGAAATCTGGAGTACCCCTCTCCCCCTGCTGGTTCCCTTAAATACTAATGATACAAGGAAAACATGTTTCTATTTCCACTTAATTGTTGAGAGAAACGATATTTGATGATAATAATGTCGAGAAAAAACAAACTAATACATGTACACGTGTTAAGTGTGTATAGGGCCTGTGGTACACTTAATTACCAACCACGTACTGTTTTAACAGGCACAGATGAAAGGCAATAATGTTGGCTTAATGTTTACATAATTTGCTTTACTATTAAGAGTTTAGCTAAAATAAAGCTACCAATTATTCATTGAAAAGAAAATTTAATAAGCAACTATAATATAAATAACTCCCAATAAGTACAACTGCCCTTTCTTTTAAACGAAATTTGTAACAAAAGCCTGGGCACTTA